CTTCGATCGGTAATCTTCGCTCATTCAAGCGGTTAACACAAGGGCAATAGAATCTTCCATCATTATCCGGAACATTCATCTTAGCAAATTCAAGGAATTGTTCTACTCCACTCTCATATTCATTTGTTGTTCGTCTATAATTGATCAAACTCCGATCCATTGTTACAAATCTAATTTTCAAAATCAAATTAGCTACGTAAACACGAAATAACTACATTATAATGCCTACACGAAATCCAACTCCACTCTCAAAATAACTACATTATAATACAAATCTAATGTTCAAAATCAAAATCACGAAAGAATGCTTACGAAACACATTCAAATGACTAAACTACTTACAATACATCTCTAAATTAGCTAAAGGCACCCGTGATGTTTCCCTCTCTTGACGACATTATTACTTACTAGATTCAATACGTAAACCTACATTGGCTAAAGCAAACACGAAAACTTACCTCTTGAAGACCTACGGAGGTGGCGGGTGGCGTGACGTGCGGAGGCTGGGTGGGAGAAACGTATCCCGGGCGACGGGCACCGGTAGCGGCGGGCGGCACGAAGCGTTGGCGAGGTGGCGTGACGAGCAAATGTGGGTGCGGAGAAACGTATACAAGCGAACGGGGAGCTCGGTATGGGTGAACTGATGAAAGGAAATGGAGCGTAGGGAGAAACGTACGGGGAGCTCTACTATGGGGGAAGTGATGAAATGAAATGGAGCGCGGGAGGAGGGTAAAACAGAAGATACTATGTCGGTTGCCCTAACACCCGTCATGAAAGACACTTTCTACGTCGGTTAAAATTTACCCGACATAGAAAGTTCACTTTCTACGTCGGGTAAATGTTACCCGACATAGAAAATTAACTTTCTATGTCGGTTAAATGTTATCCGACATGGAAAGTTAACTTTCTATGTCGGGTAAATTTTAACCGACGTAGAAAGTGAACTTTCTATGTCGGTTAAATTTTATCCGACATAGAAAGTGACATTTCCACTTACTATGTCGGTTAAAACTTACCCGACATAGAAAGTTTATGATTTTATTACAAAATTGCCACCGCGCCACATACTATGACGGGTGGATTACGACCGTGATAAAAACCCGTCATAGAAAGCTATTTTTCCACTAGTGACATTTTATTTCAAACCATCGTCGCTTGGACCAAAACTGTAGACTAAAGTTTTGAAAATATGAGGAATCGATTGGAAAGAAAAAAAAACCTTATATATTAATATGATTTGTACTTGTATTTTGCAGTTCCATTTTAAAAAAAAATATGTAAATTTTTTAGTATTAGGGTAAAGTGTAACTTACATTACTTGTTTAATTGGTGAATTATAATAAATTAATGCATGTCTCACTTGGCTTAACGCACATGCTAATGTGTGAAATTGGTGCTTTAACTTATTTATATAGTTAGCTTTACTGTTTGTGCCAAACTTTGTCTCTTGCATGTGACAGTCAATGCTCATGCTCATGACCACGCTTCTTTGTTGTATCCAGAGTACGGAGTAGGAAGGTTCCTCCTCCCCACAAATTCTTCAAATGAATTTTCATTTTATTATATAATTCTTTTATATTTATAAATATTTTTATATATATTTATAAATTTTACATTTTTTATAGCATTATTTATATGTAGAAATTAAAAAAATACTTAGATATATTTTTTTAATAATTTACTAAAACATCTTTTAAAAAATAAATTATAATAGATTAAATTTTTCTTGATTTAAGAAAAATTTTCAAATTTCAATATTATTAGAATTCACTATAATATTATATTAGAAACTTTAAGATATTTAACTCAATTTTATCAAATTAATTCGATAAATTGAGGGTTATGTTCCCTTTTATACTGTAATACTATTATATTGTTAATTAATGTCAATTTTATTACTGTATACCTCAAAGATTTTTTTATTATATTCCCTTACTTCAAAATATAGTGAAATATGATAATATTAGAATCAAATTTAATATCGTTAAGAGATAATATATATAACTTAATTATACAAAATTGATTTTATTAAATAAGATTTGTAATTACTCTAATGATATAAAAAATTTGATGAAATATCACCCTTAATTTAAAATCACAAACTTTTTCATTTTTCTTACGCATACGAGAAATTGCGCACCGCCGCCGACGATGGTGGATGATTGCAACGAGCCTGAAATGTTACGTGAAAAATAATTATGTGCAAGACATGGTTGGCGAATAAAATTGTTATGTGTAGTCATTATAAGATTTTTATTTGGATGATTATTTTTTTTTATAACTTAAATTAATTTATATATAAATTTAAAAAAATAAAAATAAATAAATTATAAGAGAGTTTCTTTAAGTTAACCTGTACATAAATTAATTTTAATTTATAAAAAACCTTTTTATTTAATCTTTATCTATCTAAAATTTGTATGAAAAAAAATGTTCCAATCAACCCGGTCATATTTCTTTTGTGGGTTATATTGTATGTAATATATAAAGTAATATAGTTGATTTATAATTATTCTTATGAGGTAATTTAAGATAAAATTGTTGTCAATAAGATAAAATTGGTATTATTTTTCAACAAGAACTGAACTTATATCTAATCTGTGTTGATATTTATTAAAAAATTTATTATACAGATTATTTAAAAAAAATCACAATCAAATTTCTAGAATAAAGGTCTTTTCAAACATTTGATCAAATTGAGATAATTAACACTGAGAAAGATTAAAGTTTTCAATTTCAAATTATTTACAAAAAAAGTAAATTTGAATTTATTAATGCTATGGTGATGTCAACGTGACACATAATGCAGTCTTTTAAGCAACACAATAAATCAAAATTGGAAAAAGGTTACGTGACTTTAACATTTGATACGTCTGTCATAATTACTTGATAAAATGTTTGAAAAGAGTCTTATTTTGACAATTTGGTTATTCCACCGAATAAAAAGGAAATAACTTGAAATATTAATACATAGAAAAAGACGGTGTAATAATACATAAAACACACTTAATTTCAATTTTTAGTCGCGTGTGCTCATAAATAACTTGGTTTACCCTAATTTATTGATATATGTATTTCCAAAGTCAACTTTTTTTGAAATAAAAAAAAAACAAAATAAATTCATAATTATAAAATCCAATAATTTAAAGAAAAGGGTCATGCGTGACAACAAAAAAGGACTATTATTTCTTTCATTTTTTTATTTTACCAAATTGGGCAGTTTTTTTTTTAAGAAAAAAAAATCAAGTCAATGTTTTTCAGTTTAGTGCTATGTCAGTTTTTTTTATTTTTATTTTTATTTTTTTAATTACGTGACACTCAAACCGTAGTTACATTAAAAAAAATGTTTGTAAATAACCCATTGGATGATCAATAATAGCATAGCATAAAAAATATATCTAAAACCTATATTTAAGTTTGTCTAAATGCAAAAGCACTCAAATAATCAATAAACACTTATATATATATATATATAATATTATATATATAAGGTATTAAACAAAGAAAACAAAATAAAATACAACACTTGTATTTTATTATTTTTTGAGAGTAATTGATGAGGAAAGAGATTGACATTTTTAATTCCAAAATTTAGAATATCTTTTGAAATATTTCGGGAATTTAAATATCGAAAATAATTTTGTATACTTTTGAAATTAAAATTTTGAAGCAATGTGTATGTTCACTGGAGTGTTATCTGAAAATAAAGTTAGAGGCATGTAAACAACCCAAATAAGAAGTATAAAAGCACACTCACCCTTTTACATCTTTGAAGATTTAATGAAATATTTTTTCATTACTATAAACCTTAAAAAAATGTAATTTCTCATTTATATAATAAAATAAGAGATAAATAACATAAAGTATATCATTTATCACATTAAACAAGTGTTAAAAATTAGCAAAAAAAAATGAATGTAGATAAAATATTAACTTGAAAATGAGAATTAATAGTACATATAGTATTAATTTTAGATCTTTTAAATTTATTATTAATTAAAATTAATTATATATATCTACAAAATTGTTGATCTTACTTTCGATTTAACGAGTTTCACTTAATTTTGTAGTTTCTGGCAAAATTTTACCAGCAATGAAAATGTATTTAAAATATACATTCAAACATATATAAATAATATAGTTTTGACTAAAAAAAATTAAAACTAGAAAAAACTGGCCTAAAATAAATTCAAACATAAATTTGGGTATTTTTTCTACACTCTACAAAAAAATCAAGTCACCTCTTTCATTTCCGACATAAAAAATGTTCGTCAAAGAAAAATTGGGCCCTTAAAATTTCATATCTTAGGTTGGTTAATTCTTCGGGCACCTTCATAATTTGTTCTTGTATCCCATAATCCAGGTAAAATTATTAAAATATTTTAATAATTTTTGTTTGAAATCTTAAAAAATTTCTTCACTCTTGTGCTTTTTTATACCTCCTTTCAACCTCCATAACTCCTTCATCTTAGATTTGTTACCCCATTTCTATTAACGATCATTTTCGGTTCATAAGATTATAAATAATGAATGTTATATATCTATAACAAAATATTCATTAATGAAAACTAGACTGAAAATATATAGGAATTTAGATTGTTCAATTTAAAACACATTTTTAAATCTGAAAGTAAATTTTCAAACAACTAATCTAGAATACATATGTATATTTAAGGAACACTCAATATGAGAAGAAGAAGATAAATGTAAATATAAAATGAGATTTATTTTAATTACGGGGTGCAGTAAGAAACAGCCTTAACTCATATCAAATCAGACCGGCCCAGATAATTCAGCAGGCCCCTCGACCTGGGCCACTTTGATACTCCTGTTTGTCACCCAAAGCACACATTGTTTTTGTTTTAAGCATATACATTTGAAGCGCCGTCGTTTCATTCTCCATTGCCGTCTTCAGAAGAAAAACCCTAATTGAAGGAGATACAGATGCAAGGGAAGTGGAATCAGAGCTGAAAAACCCTAACGATTGAGAAACGCTAAGAATGGGAGGTAAATGTCCGCACAGGAACGTGAAGAAGAGAAGATATTCTCACAAGACAGCGCGTCGAACCAAATTTGAGTTGAAAGGGGACGATATGGTTTACGCGCAGCTAAACAAACCCGATGAAGAGAAAACCCCTTTACCCGTAGACGAAGATTTGCCTGGGATGGGGCAGTACTATTGTCTTCACTGCGAGTAATTTCTTTTTCTTCCTCCTTTTTCTGTGCATGTTTTATCAGTATAAATTATGTTTGTAAATTTATTAATTGACATGGGGTTGAAAAGTTCGGGAGTTAGTAGAACACTGCGATGCCAAATGTAGAAAACGGTGTAAGGGGAAGAATATAGAGAGAACAGCAGAAGAAAGGAGATAAGAAAGAAAGCATAGATTTTAGGGCATGTTTGATCCACTTCTTAGTTTGTTGGTTTTAAAAACTGATTTCTGAAACAGTTCGATTCCAATTATTCAATAGCCTGATAAGACGAGTTCCCTGATAATGCTGCAATTTAGAAGCCATTGCCTTATTTTTGTGCAATAAGACTTCTTCTCAGTTAATAGGTTTGTAGTTAGTTTAACTAGCATTTTTCTTCTTGCTGTTTCAAACTTATAATTGGAGTGGGTTTTCGTCTTTCTTTAACCTATGGAATCCCATCCCACTTCTCCATTTTGGAGCAACATGGGAGAACAAGTCATTTATTTATTTTTCCTTAATTCTCAATTTACTTATTTCATTATATATATAGGATGCTGAAGGATTTGTCTCCATCTCCATTTTTTGTCGCTCTGTTGGTTGTTGGTTGTTGGTTTCTTGATCTATTGAGAGTAATTGTTTTGATTTGTGCAGTCGATACTTTTCCAATGTAACTGTGAGGGATGAGCACTTTAAGACCAAACGACACAAGAAGCGGTATGCTACTTTTTCTTAGGCTTTGATTTGAGTCTATCCTACATTATCCCCTTATTTGTACTGGTGAAGGTTGATTAAATTTATAAAATCGCTTGTGCTTTGTTGTACTCATGTTTTTGCGTTTGAGCTTTCATATGTGTGAGCACATAAAGTAGATGGGCACTATGAAAGGAACATATCTTGCTTTTAATAGGGATATATAATTATTGTATAGTTGAGCAAAGTACTAGTAAATTCAAGCTTGTGTAGATAAAATATATTGGATACGGAGCTTCAAAATAAAATTTATGCTTCATCTAGACCCTTTTTTTAAAAGGGAAAGTGATCAAGCTGGAACAATGGATATAGATTAAGTGATGCATGTGGTTTAGCTCTTATTCAGTTGAATGACTTGATTAATTACTTACCTTAGTCCTAAATATTACCGTAGCTTGCCCTTTCCATGCTTATTATTCACATAAATTATATCAAATATAAGGTGTGAATTTGTACTATATATGTCTATGTTTTTCGTAAAAGCAAAGACATGTATATAAATGAAATTAAATGGCTCAGTTATTTTATCAAATAGCTGAGTGTTTAATTACTAGGGTAATTGAACTGCATGTACACTAGCACTTACTTATTGTAGTGGAATGATATTGCTTCTGATATTATAGTTTCATTGTCCAGTGTAAAACAAATGATGGGTCCTGCACCACATACTCAACTTGATGCCGACTTAGCTGCAGGGATGGGTATGCCAGACAATGGACCAAAGCTTATGTCTATGTAACTTCGTTTCTGATAGTGGTGGTTAGAATGATTTTTTTAGGAGCTGGAGTTATAAGATATAGTGCTTGTTATTACGTTACAACATAAGTAATATTATATTTTGAATTCCATATTTTTTGTTTAATTCCCTCTATTTTGTTTACTAGATGAAATGTTGGAGAACAACATTTTAGTGTGTTTGAATTGGATTTATAGGTGATTTTACTCATCGGTCATATGCAAGTTGTCAACCACTCGAGTTAATTTTGAATTATGATGAATTTATGACCCTAGATAAAGAAAAAAGAGTATTAAATTCTTAGATAAAAAGAGTTATTTCACTATTATTTTCTTTTATGATTGAAGTCGTTTGAACTTTTTCAATTTGTGATAAACTTGAATAAACACTTCAGGAAGGAATGTTTGAGTTTGAAATCAGATTGGCTGGACTTTTACCTCCACAATGATAATATTTATTAGATTTAAATTATTTGAAGCAATTAACTTTTTGTTTTTATTTGTTTTTACATTAGGAACCTATGTTCATATGAATTAATATATGATTTAATCATCAGTGTAGTTTAATCTTATTAAATACTGATATATTATCATACATTATTATATTTTCTATTTTTGTGTATTAAGAAGTGGAAATATTGAATTATTATTGTATTAAGACCATTGTTGACGAGGTTCTCTTCATGATTTTTAAATAATTATTTACTTTAAAAAGAATTTGAACCAAATATATTTATCCAAGGTAATACCCAGAAAGGTCTAGGCTAAAGGTAAGTGGGAAATGAAAATCAAATGGAAGAATCAAATAGCACATTGTTTTGATATGGAGTGAGAATAAGTTCAATGATTATTTACCACAGTTGAAGATGCAAATTTAAATTAAGAACATAAAATTCTCATAACACTTAAAATCTTAAAAAAAAAATTGTAAGTTTCATTCATGGGAAGTGTTATGCCCCAGGAGTCTTCTTTTTGTAGAATACAATTAGTAAGTCTTCAATTTATTGGAGGAAAAGACATGTTTAAGAAACTTCTTACCGTGTAAAAAGAGAAACAAAACCAACCAACCAAGGAGAATGGAAGGAAAATTGTAACTTCTTTTGTCTCAGGAAATTACTAGTAACTGAAGTTAATTTATCACAATTAGCCACCTTGTGTTTACTACATGTAAACATTTAAAAAAAAATCTACTTTTTTAATTAAGTTTCTTAATTTTTAACATACTCTCTTATCTCCTTCTTAGGCTTTTTGAATTTTGTTCTTTTTATCTTTTCGTTAAAGGGTCTCTTTATCTCAATTTTTCTTTTTTCCTTTGGTCATGTTTCTTTTAAGAGTTCCTTGAAGTGGTTCTTCTTTATTCAAGGTTTCTTTTATCACAAATTTATAAGTTTTATGTGAGATAAGTCAATCACATTGAAACCTAAGTTAAGTTTAAGTCCAAGAATCTGTCCAAGATTAAGTCACTTGTTTGTAACTTTAACAAACTTTATTAAGTTTGAAAATTAGAGATAAACTTTGAGTGACTATTTATAATAGAAATATGTAGGCTAACAAATAGAAGCTTTTCCTATTTAGACTAAAGATTTTCAAAAGTATATTTATATAAGTTGTTTAACATATTAACAAATATTCAACACTTTGATAAATACAGGTATTTTTTTCTTGGCTTATGCTTCCTCATTATTATATATTTATATATATAATATTCCCATGTTTTCTTTTAAAGTAGACACTCTGAAATGTGTATACTACACATTGTGTTAGCTTTTTTAGTTTCCTTTAATTTTTAATACGTTAGTTATGGTATAACAAACTGTGAACATTCTTAAGTGTGATTTTTTTTTTCTAAGGATTATATGATTTTCTTAGGCAGTAGGATCAAATGTATATGACTATTGATTATCTACGCTTTCATGTTCAACGACAATAAATCTTCATTATATAGTTCATTGTTTACCATATACACAGCTTTACAAAATGATTAATCAAAATTTTGATAGTCATCCAATGCTACTCATCCAAATTCTAACACTTTTTTTTTTTTTCAACTATTTAATTTACTTCATTAATCTACTAGTTGTTTTTGTTCTTTTTCATATATTTAATTTATTTCAATAAAAAAATAATTTGTTATTTATGTTTGTTATTTAATTTATTTATAGTGATATATTGGTCCATATCTAATTCTTTATTTAAAGTTCCTGTTTTAATTATTATTTTGTTCCTTTTTATTTTATATTATGTTATGTAAAATATATATTTAAATATTCTTTTCATAAAATTTTTAGATAAGGAAGATCAACCTAATCGAACAAATTTGAATAAGAGGTAATTATATATATTATTTTTTATTATATTTTTACAATTATTAGTTAATTTTGATTTGAATAATGTGCATATATTATCTTAAATAATAATTAATAAATAATGTTGTGCATCTATGAAGTCACTTGCTTTAAGTAACCCTTGAAATTATAGGTGTCTCAGATGACAAAATGGGTTAGGTTCAGTCGACCAGCCGCCCGCCAACCCGCATAAATTTGACGGAACGGGTTGGTATTGTCAGTCCGATAGCTTGTTCTGCCCCGTCAACCCATTGGGCTAGTCCGCGATCCACCTAATTAATAAAAAATATTTTTATTATAATACAGTTAGTCATAATGATATTTGTAAAAAGTGAATTAAAAGAATTTCACACTTACTCGCTATAGAAAACATTATCCTTACTCAAACACAAACTTCTCTCTCCTCTTCTCATTTTTACTCATCATCTCCTCCTTGTTCATCATGAACATTAATTGTTCTTATCCTTATGACTTGAATTAAAAGTGTAAAAATTACTTTAAGGGAAAATAATATGAAGTTTTATCAAATAAAAGATATTTGAATTTTTCAACATAAAAAGTATAAATTTTACACATTATTTATATATATTTGTTATTATTTATTATTATATAAATTTTATTATTATTTTAAATTATAATTTATTAAAATAATGGGTTGATTTATATTATTAAGTTAAAATATATATGTTGAATTATTATCAAATAAATAATAATAATATTATTAAATTTATTAAAAAATTTGATATAAAATAAATAAATAAATTTAAAAAAAAATTATGACGATCAAGACCTATAATCCGTCATGATTATAACGGGTAAGTCCACCTCACCTTATTTTTGACGAGTCAAAGTCTAGACAGACTAACTCGTTTTATCATCCCAAATCTCAGAGAGTATCGGTTAAACTTAGGAAGAGTCTTAATTTCTCAGTGAAGGACTACATTTAGGATAGTATAGTTTGTTACCCACAATATAAAAGATAGTGTATACAACATGAGGAAGTAATCAGCAAGTAGATGATTATTCGGAAACTCTAAAGTAATATCCTAATTAGATATTCATAGACCTGACTCATCAATGTTTAGAAGTAAACATCTCTCTTTTGTGTATTGAAATATAATAAAAATAAATATAATTATACCAACTTTCAGTAAAAATTCTCATTGAACTAATCACTTTTCAAGTAACTTTTGATGTTTATAAGGCTTGATCAAATGTGAGATCCAAATATTTGATAAATTAAGACTAAATTTTATAATCTAGATCAAATTTTAAATTTCCATTATTTATTATATATATAATTAAGATACTCATACAAATGCCTCACTCTTTTCTGCATTTACAAAGATACTTGTGAAAGATCCAGAAAGTTTCCTTAAATAATGCATAACTTCGATTAGAAATGACAGATTTTTAACTACTATTTCCTCTTTTAATATTCGTAAGGCCTAAACTAGAAGTAATGTTATGTATTTTTGCAAAATTAATCTGCAATATTCTTTATATTAATTATTTTATAGACTAAACTAGAAGGAAATATATATATATATATATATATATATATATATATATATATTAATATAAACAAATATAAGAAAAAATGTATTAACAGAATAATAGTTTTGGAAAACAATTTTATTACTTAATTTATTTCTTTTTTAATCATGATAATAAATTAGATAATGAAATCTTATAAATAGGATCTGCAGGAGATCAATTTGATAGAAGAAATAGCTATTCTTATGTTATTCTTACAGTCGGTAAAATGTCAATCCTAATGTTCATAGGATATGATTACAATCAATGTAGGGTTCAAGGGATATCATTACCACCAAGACACATCAAAATCAAGGACAACAAAACCGAAGGGATCTTTTCAGCTGACCATTTAGTAAGTTTTGTATCCCTTGGTCAAGTTGCTCATTAAACTATTTTCAAACTATAGATTACAAATAATGGACATAAACCCAGATCGTGTTCTCTAACCGGAATTGGGCTAGAACACTTTTCATCAACCTCAAGTGGAAGAAAAGATGAGTAATAAACATATTCATCCACTAGTCAGTCATTCTACACCGAATTTCCCTGCAATAAGTTGAACTGCTTACTATGCCAATCTATTTGTATTACTCTGTCAAACAACGTCAATCAACGTAGCCCATAATTTCCAGCAGATAAATCATATACCAATTGTATACGGTTAGTTCAAGGACATGCACTGTAAGGACTACATCTCCAATTCTTGAAAGATTATTCAGTTATTTTGTCCTGTTCCCGTTCCACAGCCATGTCTTTTTCATCCCAAAACAACTTGCCAAGGCCTTTTCACTGCATATTATGCTGTTCAGCAGAGAAATAATCATTCAAAGAACAAGCCATACACCATAATTGAGGAACTATAAGTAAGGCTAAATGACAGGGATGCATAATGAAAAAAAAGACAAACCATTGAACAGAGCGAAGAATTAAGAGCAATGTGAACACACTGTTATCTACAACTTCCAGTGATCAGTGTAAATAAGCAATCAAGAAGTTACAGAAACAGCATCATCTGAGTCCACCTTCAACTGAAATGCAGAAACAAATAGACTAGATTAACATATCTGCCAAGCAAACAAAAAAAGAGAGAAAAAGAAAGATATTATGCCTACCATCTTGAGATGACTTTGTAAAGAACCAAGTAACATCCTTTTGAGCTTGTCACAGTGGTCAACCATGTGACCCATTCTGATTAATTCATCGAGCCGGTACAGAAGCCGCTCAATAGTTGTGTATGGAAACCAAACAGCAAACGGTCTTTTTCTTCTAATTATATCTGCTGGTCTCTGAAAAACGATATTCGCAACTGTATTAAATACATAACGGAGAAATAACATTGCTGCTAAATCATGCACTGCATAAACTCGTTAGTTGCCACCATACAGTATCATAAATATCAATGACAGCAGAAGTATAATAACCCATTTTAATACGAAGTTATGAAGATGTGATATTGGATAAAAAGAATTCATTTCAAGATCATCTTGGAAGAAAATTATTCAAAAGTGGGAATGAAAATAAATAGGAGGATGTTCTCAAGTTTTTAGAAAAAGAGAAAATAAATTTTCTTGTAAGAAACCTTTGTTTGGATAGGATAGTATAGCTATTCTTAGTTAGGTTTGATTTCTCTTTTGTTTAATTGCAAGGGTGGGAAATAACTCGTTTGACTACTCCTTCCTCACGCCCCATTCTCCATATATAGAGACCATATGTGAACTTTGGCCATAACTTTGAATCATTGAAATCTAGAATGACTTTCGAAGAGTGTGATTCTTCTTCTTTTTCAGCGAGAGTTTTAATCTTAGTAAGATACTAAAGTGGCGATTCAACTTCCTTTGCTAATCTCAAGATTCACCAACTCAAACCCAGAAGACACCTAAGCGTCACCATCTCACGACTTCTTCAATCCAAAGCGAACTACACCAACCTTGCTACCAAAAGCACCTTTAGCCAATGAATGTTTCCTTCACCCTCTCGGCCTACCCAGCCAAACCTCTCCATAGCTTGACCAAAATTCAAGAAACCACCAAATTCACAAGTTCATCTCCTATCAAGCTTCCTAGCTTCCTCAAACCATATCACAGTCTCAAGAATATAAAGGTCCTTCACCCAATTCACCAAAAAGCTTTTGCCAACCTAATCTTGATATTATCTAAACGAATCCACTAAGAATGTCACATTATTGAGACAAATTCCACCCTGAAGCATCAAAGAACTTAGCCAAACCTTTCACCTTTCAAGAACCACCAAGGCAGAACAAGTTATTCTTCTCCCTAGAGAGTCTACTTCACCTTGAAGGTTGAGTGGAAGATCCACCTATCCAAGTGTCCCCCAGCAAGGCTCTCATCATATCACCAATAGAAAATAAACTCAGCACTCCAAACAGCATACAGAAGAACAGAGCCCGTACCATCCAACATCAAAACAAAGAAAAACTGAACTGCTCCCAAACCTGTGACATCCTTGGTTGCACATCTGTGGCTGGTAATGGCCAGAAAGACTACCCAATGAACTCTAATGCCTAGCCACACATAGGAGGGATGTATATCCTGCAACACACCTGTTGCAAGCCCATGGCACCTTTGGTTGCATATAGGAGAAGAAAGGGAAGAATTGGTTGAATGTCAACATTAATAATACACACTAACTCGAAAGTGGTCACAAACGCATTAGGGTAAAACAAGCTTGCCCTTTCTGGAACACAACCTACGCTAATGTCTCAATTGTGACAAAATAGGACCCAAAAATTTGTCTTTAATCAACCACATAAGAGCTATGCGCTATAGTTACTCAGACCACCACAAACTCCAATTAGAATTTTCAGCACCCACAGTAACCACTCAACATATCCTAATGAACTATTTCAAAATATCCATCAAGTAACATTTACACAAATAAACAATTTTCAGCCCTGTTAAAACGTAGTGTCAGAAGAATCCTCTTTAGTCACCAAGACGCAACTTTACTGTTATGCTGGGGCTTGCCTACCATTAAGTCCATTAGCAAGAATAATTCTCGAGTATAGTGTGAAGGTAACAAATATCAGATATGGGTAAACAGAACTCTATAAAATCAATTTCAATTTTCGTGATATTATCAATTTCCATGACAAACAAAAGCATTCTGTTGGGTGAAATATTTACAAAAGTGGCGGACAGAAAACTCTTGATGTTGAAAAGTCTAGTGAAAGAAGTAACTAATTGTTGAGATATCATATATCAGCTGAGCATACACAACATTAAATTGATCGTTAGTCTTAGATATTTTAGATATTATTAGTCACAATATATATATATATATATATATATATATATATATATATATATATATATATATATTTATCATATTTATTTATATGACTCTTAATTATAAATATATTACCTATGTGTATTTTAGACACAAGAATTAATCCTATACCTAATTTTTCACTATATTCAACAATTAGTAAGAGTAGAAATAATTTACCATTGAAGCAAATGAGTCCATGCACTCAAGCAAAAGATAGGTAGCTTCTGCATATCGATCATAGGTAACATAAAGCTGAAACAAAGATGCAGGATTTGATTCCCTGCCAGTCATCCCCCACAACCTTTCCTTTTGACCCTCCTATCAAAAGCCACAAGAAATATCAGTGACTCTACAAGATCCTATATTACAGAAGCCAACGCCGGCAGTATGATAATGGAAAAAAGTACCACTTATATTTTCTAGAGAAGCAACCAGTCTATTATTTATTTAGTGTCATGGTAAATTAGAAATTTTAGATAGATTCAGAGATAGGAATCATATAATATGTTTTGGAGAAATGCTAACGAGACCCATTTTTAAAACAAGTAGGCACTCTCTTGCATCAATGAACCCCAATCAGTGACTGCAGTTTTCAGCCTAGAAAATTACCTTGAACAATTGCACTAGCCAAAGTGGCAATTCAATCTTAGGATCTGCACGTAGAAGAGTTTCCGCAACAACCATTGGTAATCTACCATTAAATTCCTTATACCTTTCCTGCAGTTTAGGAGCAATTTTAAGAAAAGGGTGAACCAGGGACTCAAAAATATAAATAAAAGCTACACATGTTTACTTAAACAACCACACGCAACAAAATGACTGAATTGAAATTGACAAGAGACTTGCACATGCCCAAAAATGTCGACCATTAAACCCTATACCACTAAAGGTAGAAATAATAGAATCTTAAGACCTAGCTCTAACTTAAGAGACAAGACATCCATTATATCATTGGTTCTAGATACAAATTAAAAGGAAGTCAGGGAAAATGACACCATCTAAGCCCCAAGCAAAATACTAATGATTATTTTTAGAAAAATATTTACTTGACTAGTGTTTAAGTTCTAATATAAAACCAATTGATAATGTGTAGAGTAGCTTAACAAGTATTTAAACTATATCCTATGACATGAGGTAGGAAACGTGAGACTTCAACACACCCCCTTCAACGAAGTTTGCCAAACCAGGCAAAGGGTATTTTTGACTTACAACGAAAGAGCAACTGTTGGTCCAAGACAACAATTGAAATAAGTTAGGCCTTGTGTCTGATACGAACTTGAAAGAACTGTTTAGGGTTTAAAACGGTATCAAATCATTGTATACTATTATATTTATATAGGAGAGAGTACAAAAAGGGGTTGGACCCAAACCCTACTAACCCTAATAGCATACATCAGAGATCGACAAAAAGAATAAAATACATGTCTCAACAACTAGTTTTTAAATAAGAGCAATGCTTACATAAAAAAAAATAAGGGTTTGTTTGATTTAGTCTTTCTTTTTAGTTTTAGAGATTAATTTTGAAAAAATGTTTTTGAAAATAATTATAAAAAGAAATTATTTGATAGCTCTAGTTTAAAAACTACTTTAGATGAAATAGGATGACATGGAGGAAGATGAAAAGTTACGGTGAAAATTGAAAAACGATTTTGATAATTTCATGACAATGTAATACAACTATTGGTGAAGATGTTAATACTATAAGTAAAACTAAAAACTATTTTTAAAAATAGTATGCAAACAAGCCCAACATTCTTATCAACTTGAAACATGAAATCACATAACCTACAATTGCATGAAAGGTTTCCTTCTTATTTCCCAAATTGTTACACTATATGCTATACAAATTTCCAAATCTTTAAAGGAACACCCTTTATTCATTGAATATGGCAGAGTAAAAAACTAGTTATAAATAGATGAAGCATAAAAATGTAAAATTATGCAATGGAAAACACATTAAAACATGCTGAGATACGAACAAGGTAAAGCTTGAGCGTTGCCCAATGACTGTTTCTGTCAGTTCGTGGAGCTGTGGAAACTGTGACAGGTGAACCATGGAGTACAATCTCATTCTTTGATGATGTCAATAAATGACTGTGTTCCCTGAAATAAAATAAAGGAACATACATCATACAATTCATACTGACAGAAACAGTGTTCAGAATTCTATTGAAAATAAGGTAAGTGTCAAAATACTAAATAAAACAATAAAGAAAGCACAAATTTTAAACCAAACAATTGAAAAAGGCTTTTAACAATTGAGAAAGGTTTTTAAAAGAATGGAAAGGAATAGGTAAACATACTCAACCCAGGTGGATTCCACTTTGTCAAGACAGCATTTCAATGAGATAGCAGATAACACTCTTTCCAGTTCCCTAAAGAGAAAGACCAAGACATTTATATAAGCATAATAATATACATGCATATATGTGTGGGTGAATGAGAGCGTGCACAGCAACTCAAGTTCAAGATGTATACCTCTTCAGTGAAGAACCCTTGAAAAATCTGAGAAGGACTGTAAAGGCCATATCATATAAATTGTTTTGGACAAGAAGATCAGCCAAGTCTGATAGAGCTCCATGTTTTCCTTTAAATGAAAGAGGGGGAGGGGGGGGTGAAAACTGGTTTAAAATTCTATCACATGAAAAGTGCAAGTATATTGAAACTGAATATCCAGAGTTGCTCAGGAAGCAACCATACAATTCACTGACAATTGTCAAGAAAAGACACTTACCAGAAAATGTCCACTTGACATTTACTAGTGACAGCATATACTCTGCTGAAGTTAGCACAAACTCATTCTCAAGTTTTTCGATATCAATCGAGGACTCCCAGGCTTGAGGATCAGCATCATCATCAACTGCAGCTGTAAAGTTAAAGATAATAGCATCACCACCACTCCAAAAACAAATACTATAATATCTTTTATGATAAAAGAAGAAATAAAGACAGACGACTATAAAGAGTTAGGAGGGTAAGACAAAAAAACAAAAGAGAACAAATAAAAAACTACTCAATCCCTCGACATATTTGCAAGAGTCACTTTTAAAAAGACTATATTAGTACAATTGTGAAGGACAGGAAATCCAATATGCAAAATATTATATAAGAATCCTTTTCAACCCCGCCTATTTCATTCTGTTAAAAAAAATGGAGAAGTAAATTTATTGATATAGCATCATGAATACATAATGGAATGATAACTTGTAACTATCAGTATGACTGAAGTCGTTGAATTACTTACACAGTTCATCTGGGCTTCTCTTAGCTTTCTTACTTGGATGATGTTCATTCACAAGAGAATTTCCCTCGGCCAAGGAATCAATCCAGGCATATGCAGGATGAACAAGATGCAGTGCATTGATTGCAGCAGAGATTGCATTCAGCCTCTCCTGCAACATCAAGGAGCTGCCTACACTATCTTTCAATGCTGCTTCAGTTCTCAAACGAGCTGAATACATGTATATGTAATTTGCTGCATGCCGCCAATTATGCCGGTGCATTTGAAACGCATAAAGCAACTTATACAAGTTTGGCTTTGCAGAAATATCTGATCGTTCAGCCTACATGTTACAATTGAAATTAATGCATAGAGGAAAACTTCATAATTTAAAACAAACATATTGTTCAGCTAGGGCATACCTTCCAAGCAAGCTCTTGCTCCACTTTCTCCACTAAACCAATAAGGGGAAGTTTATTGCTGCAAAGAATCTGTAGAGATAAAACAAAAAAGATGAGGGGAGAAGGGTACTAATCAAAAAAAGTAAATGGAAATTTTACCAAAACAATGTGTAAGGACAAGGATAAAATATGTGGAGGGCATGAATGAAAGGCATCATCCTTTAACACACAAAATCAATTAAATATTAAAATATAACTCAGCAAGTTATGCGAGAAATAACATCACACTGTTTATAACTAGAAAAGTATGAGAACCATAACAGTAACAGTAGAATAAATGGAAAAATAACAGTTTTATTTATTAGCATAAAAATGGCAACCCAAACGCAGAGACTAATATTTTCGAATAACATCTGTGCAAAATGATGTAGGAGTTAATTAAACTTGCAAACTTTAATTTAAATACTCACTTCAATCATTTACTAATTAATACTCTTGTAATCAACCTTTGAAGGCAGTAGCATGAAAGTACACAAAATGGATAGTTAAATATCAACCTAAAGAAATCATTAAGTAGAGATCATTCAACTAAGAAAAATCAGAAGAGTTTACCATAGTTTGTCCAACCTTTATAGCTCCTTGTTCATAAAGAACAATTATGAAACGTCTCAAACAGATGTATTTGCTCTCCTCATCTGGATTTGAAATTATTGCACAATAAGCATCATAATATCGACCAAGGTCTAAGGCAAATATGAAAACATTTGCCCATAGTCGTCCTTTGATGGTTGTCACTGATTCATTAACTGAGTTGTTTGTGTGCTTGTCATCTTTCATATGTAGTGCCTCATCAACTTGCTCAAGTGCAGCAAGAGCAAACTGGCAAGCACCTTCACTAATGCTATAACGTTCAAATAGCTGCATTGCCCATTGATAGTATTGAAGTTTCCACGTAGCAATTGATGTACAACCGCCTGCATAGAAAACACAAAACAGAAGTTAAGATTATCCATTTTTAAAATAAGATCATTAAAATTCAGCTACAGTAATACTCACTAAAACCAAGGTATAGAATTCCCAAGTCATCAGATAAACTCTGCAGAGCCTCAGATGCACCATTTCCAGATGAAGACCTGAATTAAACACCAACAGTGGGGTCATATTTCAAGGAAATCAGTACATATGCAGAGAGCATAAAACATATAATGTATGCAATGCACACACATATCTAGAGAGAGTCATACAAAAGTACACACATGAAGACTACTATTATTAAGGGGATTTCTAAGTTGACAATTGATTCTGATCTCCCAAAATTATTTCTATAGCCTTCCCTCTCCTTGCTCACTTTCCTCCATTTGATTTGGTCTATCAATTCACATCGGTTATTTTTGCTCTAGGTCATAAGTTACTAGCATTGACTCTGTTTCAGCAATTGTGCAACACTCCAGATTCCTGTAATAGCAAGGACATAATAAGGAACATCAAGATAGTTAAAATTGCAACATACTACCCATGAAATTGCACATTTCTATAACTTTTGCCAAACCCAGCAATGCAGGTTACACCTCAAAACACAATCAGTGAGATTGATGTGTTTAGGCTAGGATTGGACAATATCTACTTTTATAAATTAAAACCCAAGGGCTCGGGGGCTACCTAAATCTAAGACACTTAAAAGCCCTAGAGTTCATCTTGCGCCACTTTGACTAGCTGGAGAACTCAAACCTGTCACCCTAATCTATCTAATCCACACTTTGTCTGCTTGGTATATTTGAACAGTTGAGTGGTGGTTATGCGTTGGTTGCCAGCTTGCTTCAATATGCTACCTGGAGATATGCTTGGTAGCTGTTTTGCAATTAGCTGGCTCGTGGATGGTGGTAAAATCTTCTTCTGGGTGGTGCCAGGTTATGCATTGATACAGCACATATTGGATACTGGAATACAACTATTCTAAAAGTATATAGGACACAGTATATGCAGAATAAGTGCCTAGATACTTTAAAGAATTCATAAAAAGAAAAAAAAAAAAAAAAAAATATATATATATATATATATATATATATATATATATATATATATATATATATATATATATATTAATATAACTTTTATTCTGCAAATCAAATTACAAACATAATTCTCAGACATCACGATAATAAAATTAAAACATAAACTATTGTCAACATATATCACTGCTTAATGTTATTGCCTACAGAAACGAAAATATCAATCTTCGCTTCTTGAGAATTGGCCACAGAAAGAATAAGTTTAATTTTTGTTTCATCAAGAGACAATGCTTCTCTCTCATATCTGACTATATTCGATTTTATCTTACTTTTTGCAAAGGCTTCGAATCTTCACATATAATCCCTACAGCTAAAATACAAGTAAACAAAAAACTAATTCAAACTAATTAAGATAGTTAGTATATAACATTTAATTTTTTTATACTCATTGAAAAAATAAACCTTTTACCTAAACTGCCGTTGGCTGAAACTTCATTGATATCAAGAATAAGAAATAATCATTGGAAATATGATATCAACTAAATGAAGTGCACGTATTAGAGGGAATATGTATCGATGAAGCATCCTAGAGCATAGGTATTGTATTCATATCTGATATGGATGCATTAAACAAAAACATATATTAACTATAGGTATTGGATTCAAATCTGATATGGATAAATCAAGCGTATACAAATTTATCAATGTTGCAAAAGTGGCAGGTAGTTCATTAAGGTGGGTTGTGCGACTACGTCCAAAACGTCAACTCTATTGCCCCATCTCCAGGGTGTTTGCGCATGCACAACTGACATCGCCCCCTAACTGCTTCCATCACAGGGACTTGTGCCACTGCCATCAGACCACGTCCAAAGGACCCTATCACCCCTGAATGTAAAAGGTACTTGGGCTCATGCATTTAATTTTATGATATATTTTTGTTGATTTGATATCCCTTGACATTGGTAGGTGAAAAATGTAGTGAGATACGTTAGTTTGTTCATTCATTTATTTTCTTTTGATATTAATATCATCACAACACACCAAAGCTAACTCCTGTCATCAAATGACTTCCTCCCAACAAAACCCAATTCAAAATTTAGTATTTTAACAATTTTAATGTAGATATGTTTTAGTGTAGTAGATTTTATAATGGAAGAGAAAAAATAATATAAATTTATAAAAATTGCTTTGTAAGCCAAATACTAGCTTGGAAAAAAGGTCCATTTGTTTCACAGGTAGGACTTATCCAGACTGTTTAAAATGTGGGTTTACAAGCATGACCAAACCATTCCATACCGTATAAGCACCCATAGATTATGTTAGAGATATGATTTTACTACATTAATTATGTGTAACTCTTTTATGATCGTTTCCGTCTATAATACATACCCCTAGATTATGTTAGAGATATAAATTTATTATATTAGACATGTTTTGATTATGTTATCCATGCTACTGCAACAATATAACTTAACTCGGTAATCATAACAGACTGAATATGTAAAATACAAAAATTACATCTTTGAATTATGTGTGACCACATCATGCAAATAATAAAAAGAGAAATATTTCAAAGATGAGTTGTATTACCTAAAGAAACAGCGAATGGCATCAGAAACTTTTTTATCCTTCTGGGTTGCATGTAATCCAAACTGCACCTGTGACAGTAGGCAACACCCTAGAAGATGATGACGTATGCACCATCCACCATCAGCATCTTGAATACTTTGGCATGTCTTCTCCTTTTGTAAATGCGCTTCCACGATCATAAGCAATTGCTTTTAACATTTGTAAATAGAAATACAGGATATTTTCAGTAAAGATATAACTACAGGGTAAGACAGGAAGAGAAAGGATCAATATCCCAATCTGGGGATAAAAGAATAAGTAAATAACCTCAGCAGCATTATACTGGCTATGCTTGAAAAGAATAAATGCAAGATCAATAGAACGGCTCAAGAATGTAGAAGATCCTCCAGCCTGGCCCCAAATGATCCAATTGATGAAGTCTCTTGTCAAATTAATAAAGCTGTCTGCATTTGAAAAACGATCTGTAGAAAAGTGGCTATGGTTTAAGGATGAACTTCTAACATTGAGCAAGAATATAAATGCCAATGTAAAGTCACATCGGCCCAGCTTCTCATTCCATAATCTTTTCCCCATGTTGTTATCTGTATCATGCCAAAATCGGTTATCAAAATATCAGAGGTATGGATTATACATATTCAAGTCAGTAACAACTGTAAATGTTACAAACTTATAATGAAAGTGGAGAAAAGAAATAAGTAATTTTATTGCCTGACAGGAAATGACCAGAACAAGGAAAAAGATCTCTACTCGAAAGATTTTCCTTTACAACCAAGCCACTGCCCTGTTTACCTTTAGCTAAGCCTCTTTCCATCCACTCTAACTATTGATGTTCTAGTGCTGAATAATTTTACAGTTTACTATCTTAAATATATAAACATTAAATGCAACACAAATCTCACTCATTTTAGCCATATTTCCATTTAAGATGTCATGAAAAAAAATAAAAAAGGTATAATACAATGAAAGGATTATAATGAGAAGCCTTTCAAAAATAATGTTCAATCTCTATCAACCTCTTCATTATTATAACATATAAATTCAAGTACTCATTCTTGAATAAGAAGGATTTTAGGATCTACTCTCTTTCTCTATAAGTCCCGAATGGCTTCTCTTACATTTACAATCTCACATGGTCTTTCTATTTCTCGTTTGCTCTCTCAAATACTATTGCTTGATTGAATGAATCCATATTTGACTCCAATTTTTAAATTTTGACATATCATATCAAATCAAAAGACTTTGATGACATCCCTTCACCACACCCAATTTAATTCAATAATTTTCTTATTAATTTTAATGTCTTATCTCTTCAATTTGTTATTATCTGATAAAATGGAATCCACATTATTGACAATGAAACAACTCCAATTTTCTCTTAGTACGTGATTTCATCAACTGTGTAACAATGATGATAATTTTTCTAGATTTAATTAAATTTAAAAATAATGAGCAATGTAAGGGAATCACTTGTTTCTATCAGAATTCGGAAAGGGAATAATCTTGTGTAGTTGCATCCCCTTACAATCATAAAATCATTTCAACCTATGTAAATTGGAATCTGCCAGGATAAAATATATGTAAAAACAACTACAACCTACCTATTTGTAGTGATGAAAGTTTAGAATTGAAGTCCTCAGTTACAGCTGGTGCAGATGGTGTGATGGTAAAGAACATGATGATTAGCCATTCAAAAATAGTTTCTTGAAGCATTGGAACTAACTCAAGCTGTACCTTGTTTATATCATCATGGGTCAAGTGGACCTGCGTGAAAAATAATCACAACATATATGTGTGAAACATACAAGATATTAATCTACATCTACAAAAAGGCTAAGCATATTGGCTAACAAATACAACTGCCTATATGCTTTGAGAACTTGAACTACAAGAAAGGTCAACATGATACAAATCATGTCTGACAAAGTATTTGTAGAATAAATCGTTGAACTCAGTTAAGAGAGTAAAGAGAATGAAAAGAAGATTTCTAATTTTGTGGGATGCTTACTCCACTCTATGATCTCATATATATATAGGATTACAACATTTAAAACAACAACTACCAACTACTAACAACCACCAACCACCAACTACTAACTACTAACCACTAACCACTAACTAATAATAATTCTAACACTCCCCCTCAAGCTGGAGCATACAAATTGTATGTACCAAGCTTGGAACAAATAAATTCAATTCGAGGTCCTCTTAAAGACTTTGTCAACACATCTGCAAGTTGATCATTGGACCCGACAAATTCAGTGCAAATGTCTTTAGACAACAATTTTTCATGAATAAAATGACAATCAAGTTCTATATGTTTGGTCCTTTCATGGAACACCGGATTAGAGGCAATGTGGAGAGCTGCTTGATTGTCACAATACATCTTCATCTATTGGATCTCACAAAATTTCAGTTCTTGAAGGAATTGTTTCACCCACACTAGTTCACAAGTGAAAGATGCCATTGCTCTATATTCAGCTTCAGCATTAGACCGGGCCACTACATTTTGTTTCTTACTTTTCCAAGAAATAATATAGCCTCCAATGAGAACACAATATCCTGTAGTGGAGCGTCTGTCCATAGGGGATCCAGCCCAATCAGCATCACAATACCCAGATATTTGGGTACCCCCTTTATCTTCATACAACAGACCTTGTCCTGGAGCTTTTTTAAGATATTTTAGGATGTGAACGACAGCATTTCAATGATCAGTACGCGGATTTTGAATAAATTGACTCACAACTCCAACGGCAAAAGATAGGTCGAGTCCGGTAATGGTGAGATAAATGAGTTTCCCAACAAGTCTTCTATATCTCTCAGGATCGAGAGCGGTTCACCTTGATCCGCCATTAATTTCCGATTTGGATCCATAGGGTCATGTCATCGGTCTACAATCAATCATGCCTGTTTCTTTCAGGATATCTAAAACATACTTTCTTTGGGAGACTACGATGCCTTCTTTTGATTGAGCCACTTCAATCCCTAGAAAGTATTTGAGACAACCAAGATCCTTAGTTTGGAAGTGATTGCATAAATGTTTCTTTAGCAAAGAAATTTTATCAACATCATCCCCTGTAATGACTATATCATCTACATATACAATTAAATAAACACATTTTCCTGAAGCAATATAATAAAAAACAGAATGATATGCTTCACTTCGTTTTAATCCAAAACTTTGAACAATGTTACTAAACTTTCCAAACCAAGCACGTGGAGATTGTTTGAGACCATAGAGAGAACGATGTAACTTACAAACCAAAACTAGACTCCCCTGAGCAACAAAACCAGGAGGTTGCTCCATATAAATTTCCTCCTCAAGATCACCATGCAAGAACCCATTCTTGATATCTAACTGATGAAGAGGTCAATGACGGATAGCTGCCATAGCAAAGAAAAGTCGAACAGTAGTCATTTTGGCCACAGGAGAAAAAGTATCACTGTAGTCAACCTCAAATATTCCTGATATTCTTCGTGAGAGAACTTGGATTCAACCATTTCTGATTTGGAAAAATTGACAGTTTTATTAGGAAAACCGTGCAAAGAGTAGCAATTTTCCACTATATGACCCATTCTCTTGCAATGAGTGCATTGAGGACGTCCTCTACCTCCACGTCCTCCTCTAGTGCCGCGACTTCCTCTTCCATGGGTAGAAATCATAGCAGAAGATTCAACAAGTTCTTGATTATTTTTTTTTTTAGAGTTGGAACACGAAGCAGTCTTGTAGTCAAACTTTCCATAGAAGGAACTTCTTGTCCAGTTAAAATTTAATCTCTAACATGATCAAATTCTGAATTCATAGCTCGGAGAGTCATAACCATATAGAATTTATCCAACTTTTGCTTTATCTCCTCTAACGAATCCACCTCTAGGAACATCTTTAATTCTTCAACTGCTGATTGAGCTTCAGCAATAAAGGTCATCATATCTTTATCCACTTGCTTGAGAGAGGCTAATCGATTAGCGGAATCATAGAGGCGTTGGATATCATTTGTGAAGATATTCTGAGCTTTTTCCGAAAAGAGTTACATGTTTTGAAGGATCCGAGAGTGTTCAAAATATTTGGTTCTACTCGATTGCCACGATGAGAGCACGAGTTGATAATCAAGCTTTTTCCATTTTTGAGCCTGATCTTCTGGTATCTTACTTCCGTCTTTTTCTAGATGATCGTGAAACCCTTGTCCAAGGAACCAAAGTTCCACTGAAGAGGACCAAGACATGTAATTTTTTCCATTTAATTTCTCAGCCGTTATCGTGGGAGTTCCGAAAAAGGAGGTTGTGGGCCCTGACGACATGTTTTAAATAATGTAGATGTAAGATGGAGACAATGGAACTTGTAAGAAAGAGAACACCCAAGATAGCCGGAAGGTTATTGGAAGGTGGTCGGAAAGTCGTCGAACGGCAGCAAAAAAAAAAAAAAGTGACTGGACGGGGGACTGACGGTTGCCGAAAAGTGACCGGAAAGTGGTCGAAAAGTGGCCGGACGGTGATCGGAAAATGACCGGACGGTGATCGGAAAATGACCGGACGGTGACCAGAAATGGTCGGATGGTGGTCGGACGGTGGCCGGACAGGCAGAGCAGGACCAACCTGCTCTAATACCAAGTTAAGAGAGTAAAGAGAATGAAAAGAAGATTTCTAATTTTGTGGGATGCTTACTCCACTCTATGATCTCATATATATATATAGGATTACAACATTTAAAACAACAACTACCAACTACTAACAACCACCAACCACCAACCACCAACTAATAACTACTAACCACTAACCACTAACCACTAACCACTAACCACTAACCACTAACCACTAACCACTAACTACTAACTAATGACAAAGTATTTGTAGAATAAATCATTGAACTCAATCACAGCATTTCATGAGCTTATTGTATGACTAACATTACCATTCATGAATTTTTAATCCCACAAAATATTTAAATTAAAAATAGAAAGCATTTTTTTTGTTCAAATTAAACTAATGTGCATCTTGAAGCCAGATAAGTTTATGATTTTTTTTCACACAATTATAAATTCAGCTTAAAATTCTGATTATACACAGTATGAATTATTAACAACGTTCAAACAAGCTACAAGTCTTTACGGCCAGATATAAACCATGAAACTAGAGTGAGCCAATCAAATTACTTAGTTTGGGTACCAATGAGGCTTACTACATTCCTATGGACTACGTAGCCGTATGTGTGTATGATATATAAATTAATTCGATTGCTGATTGAAGCAAACCAAACTATTTTTTATGTCTTACTGTTCATCAGTGAAACTCCTTCTCTCTCTCTCTCTCTCTCTCTCTCTCTCTCTCTCTCTCTCTCATATCAAATTCAGATTTTACTATTTCAGTAGTGATCGCCACTCAGATTCTCCTCGTTATTATTTCATGGGATTGGAAAATAAAATCAATTACACATGCATTGTACCTAATTTCTAACTGTGACCTTTCAACTGAAAGTGGCACCAAGACAATATTTGACATATCTGAATAGTCATATCCATGCACAAACAAGAAAATTGTCATCAATATGGACTATGAAACACGGTGCAAAGGCAGCAAAGTGTACAAAAAACAAAAACTGATCATGATTGTATTCAACCACTATAGTAGATCAGATTGCTGACAACTCAAGAATAAATCAAAGTTCAAATACACCAAGATTTTACTACTGAATAAAGGGAAAAAAAATAAGAATTTGCAATTTCTATCTAATTTAATTAGACAATAATTTCAAATAAATGATGTTTACAATTAGAAAAACCATTACACTTGAAACCATAAATATGCACACAAATACGAGTAAAGACTCACCTGGCCACTGATGTCAACCAAATAGCTTAGAAATAGAAGAAAGTCCCAGGCAGATTCAAACATCACCTTTGCAATCTGATAAGTAATATGTACTACAACGGAAGAATTTATGCTTGATGATACCTCAATATTAAAATTTTGTACTACTTTCTTTGGAACCAAAAATTTCAAGAAACCCTCAATTACGTTTAAAATTCTGCCCCATGCAGAAGCCTTTTTGAGCAAGCCTTGAAGCGATAAAAACATATCCACAGAAAGTTTCCTCAAACTTTTATGATCTGCTAGCTCCTTGTCCAGAACTATATGATCCCTAGAGGTAGATGTTTGAAACACTGGACCTGACTTACAATATCCAGTTTCCAGAATCTTTACAATATAGCGAATAATATCTTCAGATGAGATCACCGGTGTAGTTAAAAGAGATTCATAAAATATAGAAGAAGCAGTTTTGCCCAACTGTTGGCTGAAACTCAGAACACATCTAAGCAATTCAATTAGAATTTCACACTCCAGATCATCATCAAATATATCCACAAGGCCTGTGAGCTCACTAACTTCATCTGAAGAGCCTACAGCATATCAAAATCAGTATTGAGAAAAACATAGGAAAGCAAAGAACTGATTATAGCAAGTTAATTAATTTAAAACTATTAGACTTGTATTTTAAATGCAGTTCTCAACTGCATCTACTTGGTACTTTATTATTCTTTGTTAGTTGTATAGTTATGGTGAAAGACAGCTGACAGTTACAATATGCCAGCCTTCAGCCACAGTTTGTAACTACCTATCCAGCTGATAAGAACAGTTCGTAAAAGCTTGGTACTTTGTTATACAACTAAGGACCTTTGCATCTGCTGTTGTACAAATAGCAAAACATGGATGCACTGCCACTGTCTGGCCCACCACCATTGAGGCGGACGTAAGTCAGAGAGGTTTGTCCCACAATGTAGCAGTACCTACACGTACTCGATGTCTTGTTCGGCAAGACACACTTGTCGCCATTCCAAGGGGCAGTGACTTCCCATGTGGCTCTGTCTTGAGTAGATATGACATTTTCTCGTTTGCCAACCTGATTCCTTTGCACATTCTTGGGGTTTTCTATCAATACCAACTACTCTAATTCTGTCAATGCCTCCTTCACAGCAGCTTTTTTCCATTGTTCCACCAGATCTTGATATGAAAACTAACAAGTCTTAGAACAATGGTTGAATCAATGAGTAAGCCCACTGGATTGTGTACCATGTTCGTGAAAGGTAAGAGTTTATTCAATATTGTTTGCCCAATGTCTCAAAATGTTTGAATTCATGATGTAGGAGCATCAAATCACATGACTCTATTTCCTATGCTTTTCAAATCATATCTAAAAATGTCAGGAAAACAACTAATTACAATTGTGACTGGTGATAATGAGCCCATATGTCAATCCAGGAATATAACTTTAGAATCATCGATTGTATGAAAGGATGTTTTATATGTCCCATAACAGGCTAATAGTCCCATAACAGGCTAATAGTCATATCTTGGTCCAAAATTTACTTCTCAGTGACATTCTTCTCATTGTCTTTTTCAGGACCTTGCCATGAGGAAGACAATTTTAATTGCTAAGAGCAGAGTGGTTATATCTTTTGAATTCCAAGTATTAGAATAAAACAAAGGTTACAACAAGTAACATCATAAACATGGGCAAGTTCCCAAATCTGACGTCACAATTAAGACTGGCATTCCCCATTCAACCTACTCAAATCTTTGTCCCTTATTTATTTATTAAAGAATCTGTTGGGTCTTTCAAACATGATAGCATCACTGTAAATCTGTAAAAATCAAAGTAATTCCCCATTTCATTTGATTAACTTTGATGTTTGGGAATTGTCTTGGAATCTATTTTGGGAGAAAAATGGTTTCTTCCTTTAATGCCGATTGTACCCATGAACATACATTATAAAAGATAAATTTGACTTTTGACAAATCTTTGTTTATATTGGCTGTCTTGTCCAAAATCAATTTGGTAAAATTATCAAAAAAATTAGGTCTGATAACAGTCTTGAATATTTGAATCATGTAATTTCCAAAGTTGTCTCATGATGCTATTGTCCATGAACTAACGTGTAAGTATTCCCCAAGAATAAAGGAATGCAGAAATGAAGAATTGTCATCTACTAGAAGTTTGTAGAGCCCTCATTTTCCAAATTTATGTTCCTAATACCTACTAGGGAGCAGTTGTGTTAACTATCACATATCTCATTCACAGGCTACCCACCCACGTCTTAAATTGTATTAGTCCTATTTAGTCAATTGTCATCTGTTCCTCTTCTCCCATGGTGTCAAGTCTACCTAGCCGGATCTTTGGATGTGTTGTTTTTTTTTTCATTATCATAATCATAATTGTAGTAAATTAGACTCTAAATCTCTTAAATGTGTCTTCATTTGTTATCCATCAAAAAAGGGGTACAAATGTCGTCATCCTTAGAGTCATCAAGCCTTGTCACCTTTCACGAAAGAAAATTTCTTTTGACCCACCCTCCACTTCAAGGGAAGAAAGTGGAGGATTCTCCTTTCCAGTCATTACCTTATCTTTCTTTGCAGGATGCCCAAGATCTGTGATGAAGTCACAGATGCAATAATAGAACTTTCGCTTTGCAGGATGCCCACCCTATCTATGGAGAGAAAGAAGATAGATTCTTAGGCCAAAAATATCAAAGAAAACAAACCACTTTCGCTTTGCAGCAAGAAGATTTGTCTGACTCATAGGTGAGGATCCCTGAATATAACAGTGAGGAGGTAATATTGTTCAGAATTTACCCATTGCGTTCAGAAAAGGAAAAAAGTTGTGTTAAATGTCTTATTTCTCAATATGTTTGCACTGACAATCTCTCTGATAAACATTGAAGCTTTTTTACTGCCATGCCACAAAAATTCCTAACCGAGTCCAAGAAGCCATGAAAAGTGAACATTGAATTCAAGCCATGAAAAAAAAGAAAAAAACTCAACTTGGGAGACTATTGATATTCACAATGAAACATGAGGCAGATAAGACAATAGACAAATAAAAAGCAAAATTGGTGGTAAAGAGCTACACTCAAACTTATAGGATTGACTATGAGGAGATATTTGCTCAGTGGCAAAGATGAATATAGTTTGAGTTGTTCTTGCTTTGACAGCTCAGTTTAGTTTGGGACTTACACCAGTTGGGGTGTGAAGAATGTTCTTCTTCATTGAGCTTTAGTAGAGGAAGCGTTAGTTAGAATATGCCAATTGTCAATAACAGTTTGTAACTACCTATCCACTGTATAGGTTCTTGATTGTACCTCTCATTCAGAAAATAAAAGATTCAGTTTTTAAAGCTTTTCTAACAAAAACAATTTACAAAAGTGCCAGAAATATATTTATCAATATAAGAATTCATTGAGAAAGAAGTGATACAGATATCTATAATTATTACTTACCCTCCACAATACGTTCGATATCTTCCAAAGACCGAAAAAGTGAAATGGAATTTTTTCTAATTAAGCCAACAGCATCAGAAGAGGAATCAACAAGCAAGCCGTATAATGCATTGTTCTTGCACCAATTATGGAAATAGCGGGTGAAAAAATATTTCCAGCAGTGCAATAAAGACACTTTATCAGATCCAACCTACGAAGTTATCAATCTTGTCAATTTAGTACAATTTCCCCCTCCCAAAATTAAAGAAGGGAAACATCAAGGGGATATGAAAGAGTTGATAAATATGACAATGCTAACCTCTTGTTCTATGACTGAAAGTATCTCCTTTTTTATCCCATCAACAGTTAATGTTTGCAACTCAGATTCAGCCAAATGCCTACTATACTCAACTAGAGTTGCATACAAAGTAGCATTATGATGAACCCCAGGAAGAAGCAACCTTCTTGTGAAAATAGAAGATACAAAAGGTGAAATATCATCCTATAAAAAAGAAATAACCAAATCAAACTCTTTCCCTTGATGAATTTATTCTTTCATCAATAAAAGAAATAATCAAGTTGCTTCATTAAACATATGAGAATCCCCATCACAGTAACAATTTACATGCTACTTGATACAAAAGCCTTTTATTCAAGTACAGGTAGTTCAAAACTTAAATTTGTCATCTTCAATTCTTTTTAAGCCTCTATAAAATCAATGAAGGGTAAGTTGCTTCTGGTAATCATTAACAGATATTGACAAAAACACTTTTCAGTGTAAATGTTACACTAGCTATGGACCTAACCAGTTCAATTGATACATATAGACATCCTAAACCATGAAAACTAAGCATGCAACAAGCAACCATGCACAAAGTGCCTATCAGTATACAATTACAATGTCATTAAGATATGCAAGAGAGTTTGGATACTGTTGAAAGTCCCACATCGCCTACCTCATGTCATTTTGTATGGTTTAAATACATGTTAGGCTACTCCACATATTGCCAAATTGGTTTTATGTTGGAATCTTAACATGGTATCAGAGCTAAAGTCTAACATCTTTTCGGTTATTGTCATGGGCCAAAAGTTGCCCTTTAATTGGGTCAAAAATACCCTTTGCCTGGTCTGGCAGGCTTCGTTTGAGGGGGCGTGTTGAAAGTCCCACATCGCCTACCTCATGTCATTTGGTATGGTTTAAATACATGTTAGGCTACTCCACATATTGCCAATTGGTTTTATGTTGAAATCTTAACAAATACAAACCACCACCTTGTTCTTAGAGTTGGAGAAATCATCTCTATGTAAAATCATCATTAACAATAAGCAAACCCAGTACACATTCTAGAAACTTAGATTAACTGAAATATGAATTTTATTATATCAATACAAAAAGATGATATAAGATATATACAGGAGACCTAAGCTATTTTAGGAAATATAATAACTCTATTTTATGCTTGGATCCCTTGATTTATGGGATTGTTCCTAATTATTCAAATATGTACAGATTACAAGAAAATATACAAATTTCCTGATTTATTCTTTCCTAAAATACTATTTGATTTCTCACACTCCCCCTCAAGCTGGTGAATAGATGTTTTCCATTCTCAGCTTGGATACAATCTTCTCAAAATTATGGCAGCTCAGTCCCTTGGTAAGAATGTCTGCAATTTGGTCTTGAGAGGACACATATGGAGTGCATATCAAGCCACTATCAAGCTTTTCTTTGATGAAGTGTCTGTCTACTTCAATATGTTTTGTTCTATCATGCTGCACTGGGATGTGGGCTATACTGATTGCTGACTTATTATCACAATAGAGCTTCATAGGTTCTTCCCACTTTATCCTCAAGTCTTCTAAGATGATTTTAAGCCATAGCAACTCACATATACCTTGTGCCATGGCTCGAAATTCGCTTCAACGACTGGACCAGAGCCACTACACCTCGCTTTTTGCTTCTCCAAGTCACAAGATTTCCTCCAAGAAAGGTGCAATATCCTGTAGTTGACCTATCCACAATTGACCCTGAGTATAGGCTTCAAGCTTCACATTACCATTCCTTTTGAATAGAATCCCTCTTCCTGGAGTTCCTTTAAGGTACTGTAAAATTCTGTGGGCAGCTTGTAAATGGGTCTTCTTTGGGCTATATGCATAAATTGGCTAATTAAACTCATTGCATAGGCAATATCTGGCCTAATATGCGACAAATATATAAGTCTACCCACTAATCTTTGGTACATATCTTTTTCAACAGCAACATCTTCTGCATTTCCAAGCTTTAGGTTTGGTTCTAATGGGGTACTAGCAGGTTTGCAAGCTGCCTTGCCAGTTTCCTTGAGCAAATCAGTGATGTATTTCTGCTGAGATATAAATATCCCTTTCTCGGAGTGGGCAACTACAATTCCCAAAAAATATTTTAGTTTTCCCAAGGTCTTGATCTCAAATTTCTTGCCTAAGCATTGGCTCAATAATTGCTGCTCTTCTTTATTATCTCCAGTTAATATTATGTCATCCACATACACCAATAATATTGTTACTCCCCCTGACTTGGAATGTTTAAAACACAAAGTATGGTCCCCTTGGCTTTGTTTGTAACCTAGACCTGTCATAACTTTAGTAAACCTGCCAAACCATGCACGGGGGGACTGTTTTAACCCATATAATGCCTTTTTCAACTTGCAAACAGTGTTGACAACAACATCTTTACCATATCCCGGAGGTATCTCCATATAGATTTCTTCTTCAAGGTCTCCATGTAGGAAAGCATTCTTAACATCAAATTGTTCCAAGTTCCAACCATAATTGGCAGCAAGGGACAATATCACCCTAACTGTGTTCATTTTGGCAACCGGAGCAAAGGTCTCCAAATAATCAACTCCATAGGTTTGGGTGAATCCTTTGGCAACTAGTCTTGCCTTATATCTCTCAATTGATCCATCAACCTTGTATTTCACTCTATAGACCCATTTACATCCAACTGGCCTCTTTCCTATTGGTAAGGTGACTAACTCCTAGGTGTTTTTCTTCTCCAATGCCTCCATCTCTACATCCATGGCTTGCCTCCATTTTCTGTCAGACAATGCCTCAGATAGGGCGTTAGGTAGAAGTACAGTGTTTAGGTTTACTAGGAAGGTTTTATGGTTAGGAGAGAAATTTTTAAAGGACAGGTAATTTGAAAGAGGGTAGAGTGGTTGTTTGGTGCATTTTCTTGTTCCTTTTCTAATGGCAATTGGGAGGTCAGGATCATTTTGGGTTTCAATTTCAACCTGCACAGCTGGAGAAAAAATTGTTACCTCTTTTTGTGGAGTCAAGTTGGATTCTTGAACATGGCTTGATCCTGGAATGACCTTAGTCTTCCTTGAGTACACCAGCTTCTTACCAAATTTTCCAGCTTCAACATCTTGATCAGCTTCACAATTAATTTCACTTTCTTGACCAACTTCATTTTCTTGACCAATTCCTTGACTTGTTTCATTTGTTACAACTTCAATTTGATCTTCAATTTGATCTCGTTTAGCTTCAAATATCAAGTCTGGAAGAATGGAAAACCAGAATTACTACTTTCAATATGATTTCGTTTAGGTTCAAATGTCAAGTCTAGAAGAATGGGAAAACCAGAATTACTATTTTCCTTATCTTCCCTGAAACTCTCCCCCTGAAGATAAGGTTGATGGAAATAACCCTCTTGTTCATTGAAGGTAACATCCCTAGACACAAAGAATTTTTTGGATGGGGGTGGTAGCATTTATACCTTTTTTGAGTGGGTGAGTAACCAACAAAGACACATTTTAAGGCTCTAGGATCAAGTTTCCCCCTGTCTGTACTATGAATATGGACATATGAGATGCACCCAAAAACTCTTGTTTAAGATTATTTGTAGTAGACAAGTTTGGATAGAAAGACGACAAAACTTCCATAGGGCTTTTTGATCCTAAGACTCTAGAGGGTAGTCTATTGATAAGGTATGTTGCTTGTAAGAACAGACTTCCCCAGAAATTTTTTGGGACACTTTTTTGGAACAACAATGCCCGAGTCTAATTTAATAGATGTCCATTTTTCCTCTCTGCGACCCCATTACGTTGTGGTGTTTCGACACAAGAGGACTCATGAATTATACCTTCTTTTTGACAAAAAGAATTAAGGACATGATTGAAGTAATCTTTGGCATTATCTGACCTAAGCCTCTTAATATTAACACCAAACTGATTTTTTATCATGGAGTGGAAGTTTAGGAAGACAGAACTGACTTCTGATTTTTGTTTAAGTATGAAAACCCAAGTGACCCTTGTACGAGTCATCTATAAAGGTGACAAACCATCGAGTACCATACACATTTGGAATATTAGAAGGTCCCCATACATCAGTATGAACAAGATAAAAAGGGAAATTGCTAATTCTATTACTTATTGGAAAAGATATACGCTTGTGCTTAGCAAGTTCACACACCTCACAATGAAGACTCTCAACATCTAACTTGGTAAGGGAAATATAATTTTGATCACTCCAAAAGAGGGATGTCCCAACCAACAATGATAAAGCATGATTTTTTCTCTGTTGGTCATTAAGGATTCAGATATGAAGGAGTGAGAGATTCTATTCTTGCTGGGCAGACTTGGATCTTCAAGATAATAAAGGTCATTCCATTCTCTAGCATGTCCAATCATCCTCCCCGAATCCTTGTCCTGAAATACACAATGATCGTGGACAACTTTATAAGTTTTTGTATAGACACTAGGTTCATGGACAACTTTGGGACATGGAGAACATCTTTTAAGGTTATTAAAGGATTGATTTGAATATTTCCTTGACCAGCTGCAGTTATAAGGGTTTCATCTGCTGTGGCAATTTTCTTGTTGCTGGGACATGGGGAATATGTGGAGAAGTGTTTGGCTAATGGTGTCATGTGATCTGTGGCTCCAGAGTCCAATATCCAATAATGGTTAAAAGGCGTATCTGAGACATTTAATCCAAAAGGTGGAAACTTACCTGAGTATGCCAAAGAACACATACATGTAGGTTTTTCCAGCTTACTAAGAACGGTTTTCACCCTTTCTATCTCCTCTTCCCTTGACATTATAGCAAAAAAGTGTGATGCAACAACAATGCAGGATGTCGTCTTAGGAACAAGAAAAAATGTAGCAGCAATGCAGACTGTCGTCTTAGGATTAAGAAAAATGCAGCAGCAATGTAGGCTGTCGTCTTAGGGTTAAGAAAAATGTAACAACAATGCAGGCTGTCGTCTTAGGGTTAAGAAATATGCAGTAGCAATGCAGGCTGCTGTCTTAGGGTTAAGAAATATGCAGCAGCAATGCAGGCTGCTGTCTTAGGGTTTATCGCGCGCAGACAGAGCTTCCTAGATCGGAAGCTCTAATACCATCTGGAAACTTAGATTAACTGAAATATGATTTTTATTATATCAATACAAAGAGATGATATAAGATATATACAGGAGACCTAAGCTATTTTAGGAAATATAATAACTATATTTTATGCTAGGATCCCTTGATTTATGGGATTGTTCCTAATTATTCAAATTTGTACAGATTACAAGGAAATATACAAATTTCCTAATTTATTCTTTCCTAAAATACTATTTGATTTCTCACACATGAATTTGAGTGTACATAAATGCAGTGCAACCAATGTGCATAGATGCATTAAATGAACTATGAAGCACACCTCTTTTCCATTAATAATAGCAAAGGAATAAAAAGCCTCCAATACCTTTGAAGATGAAAATATTGAATGTGTGATCCGTAAAATTTCATCTGCAAGATGATCTGAACTTTGAAATAGTTGATCAGCAACAAATTCCTCTTGTAAAGCATAAGAAAACGCTTCAACCCTGACAAAACACAAGATTACTGTTAGAGTCCTTTAGATATATTTGAATCCTATAGATATTAATACCAATATCAATTGATGATATTAGAATCAATTAGATTGAATCAATATTTAAATTATTAGCCTAAAATAGGAAAATTAAATATTTTGTAAATTATGCTTTCTCCCCTATAAATTAAAGAGCTCTGTTGTGGTCAAAATAGATGGAACTCATCATATGTCTTCTTGGTTTATCTCTTCTCAACATGGCATCAAGAATCTAATGAGAAGCAATCTAATTCGTGCCTTCCCTATGCACCTACTACATAGATGTAAATTTTTTAGAAACCATGTATTGTTTCCAGTTTCTTTTTTTTTTCATTGGAATTATTATTCAAGTCAGAAACAACTGATTGATTGTTCTCATCGAATCATTGTTCATGCACTGCTCAAGCCAAAGTTAATACTCACATCAGAATAATGTTCACATTAGAGTTACTATTCACGTTGGAAGCATTGTTTGGTTTATTTCCACACTAATTGAATATATTTGTCTCTCAGAGATTGATCTCTCCCCTCCCACTGCCCAATGGCTACCTCCAAATAGCATGATTGCAACACTCTCTTCCTAGTTGAATGGTAAGAACAATTCATATTGGGCTTCTCATAATGATCTTTAGCTTGTTGGACAAGGATATGAGGCACATCTCACCCAGACACAAGTAGTAGCCTTAGAGGCAGATAGCCCTATGTGGAAGAAGGTTGAAACTCGTGTTGTATTCATCCGCACCACCATTCACCCATATCTTTGTGATGGTCTTCCACACCCAAAAAACTTGCCAAGCAATTTGGGTACGAGCCATACAACTCTACCAAGTTTGTGAAGATATCCAAACTATCCTTAGTTCCCATGAGCATAGGGATTCTATGGCAACTTATCTAGGCTCGGTGTCTAGACTCTATTGTTACTCCTACAATAGAACTTCAAAATCGCTATAAGTTTTTTTGTCCCAGTGCCCATAAACTATTTTCATATTTGTGATCAAATCCTAAGTACCATGGAAAGTAAGTACCTAGGTGTAAATCTACTTTCTATTCCTCCCAAAGTCTCTTTTGAGTCCTTGCCTCCTTCAGGCCTTGTTAACTATTGTGTTTTGATGTTCATAATAATAATAAACTTCCTTAGTGTAAAGGAAGTAAAGAATGTCCTTGGTGTGATCATTATCACAAGCCAATATATACAATTGACAACTGTTAGACTCTACATGGTCGATCTCCTCACAATGTTCTTACTGCTTAGAGTTTTGTACCTCCTTCTACAACATTCGCTTTGTCACTACCTCCTCATCCAACCCATCACCTTCCTATGTTGACTTCCTAAATAGGTAGGTATGAAGACCAATAGGCCTTTGGTCCTCTCCTACTATTGCACACATTGATAATTCATTTATAGGCATCTCACACTTTGGTCCTCGATTCTTGGATCATATCACTAGTAATAATCTCTTTTCGCTTTTCTTTGTACTTTTAATTATTTACCTTTTGCTACTATGGCAAATGGTTCCCGACGTTGTGGGTATTGTCCACCCTTTTCCTTCTCTTTTTAATAAGAATTTTTGTATATCCCAAAAGATCCACTTTATTGTTCATCAATCAACTTACCCAATTTCTTCATTGTGACATTTCTTTCACTAAAGAATTTGTTTCCTTGAAGAACCAGTAAGGAGGATAATTGTCTTCAAATGTTAATCTAATGGCCACTATCTACTCAACAAGCAATCTCTAGTTGAAATGATAGCAACATCTCATCTTTTGATTCACGCTCAATTAGGACACTAAGGTCTTGACAATTTCTAAGTTAGAGTCTTTGTCTTGATAACTAGGTAATCATATTCATAGCATGTTATTCTAGTTGCACTATTAGTTGAGTTTCATCCCCCTTTGGTTAGGGATGACAGTGGGTCAGGCCCAACAAGCCAGCCTGCCAACCTGTCTCAAATTGGTGGACCATTTTGACATTTTGAACCCGTCAACTCGTTTTAGCCTGCCTTATTTAGCCCACCAACTTTATATGTGTGTGTTTGTGTTAAAATTAACTTATTAAAATAAAATGAATTATAATTTAAAGGATTACAATTTTGTATTATGGAGTATGTATATGCAATAAAAAATAATATTGTAATTTAAACAATAAGCTTTGACAAATTAAACTCAAATTATTTATTACAATGGAGTAATTTAACATATAAATATGACAACTCTCTCAATTTATCCAATTAAAGGTATTAATTAATTGATAAAGGCTTAGATAATACTTATATAATCAACCATTTTTTCATCCCTACTTTTGTTTTAATTCATTCATAAGTTTGGGGTCAAATTTGTATTTTCTATACATTAGGGTCAAGATATTTTAACAATAATTTTTTTGATATCAACAATAAATTCAGTGTCCCCATTCACACTTCACACAGTAATAAAGCACATGAGAATTTGTCTAATCGATTTCATACCTAGATGGCGTCTCATGGTGTCTTGCCTTAAATATTTTACATTTATACCCCCAACAAAATGGAGTTGTTAAACGCAATAATTGATATCTACTTGAGACCACCGAACTCTTCTTTTCCACTCACATTCTTCATCAATTTTGAAGTGATATAGTACTTATTACATGTTATCTTATCAATTGCAAGCCTTCCTCCATCCTAAAAGTTAAAATCCCCCACCAAGTTTTATATTCTCACCATTCTATTCATCCTTTACCATCTCAAGTCTTTGTTCTAAGTGGTTTGCTCATGCCCCAAGTTTTGACATTGATAAACTCTCTCCTTGGTCTCATAAGTATGTCTTCCTCGGATGCCCACAATATAAAAAACGGTCAAGTATTATTCACCTACCCAAGTATTTCATCTATACTAAAGTTATCTTCTTCGAAACTGTTCCATTTTTTGGGTCAACATTATCTACATTCGAGGTGTTTCCTTCCACCCTACACCTATCATTGTTTTCCTCCAAAGTCTCCATCCCCTCCCCACCATCTCCTTCATCATTGCAGGTTTATCAACGGTTTACTCATCCTAAAATGCTACACCTATTACCAGCAACACCATAAAACTCACGTTTGGCACAGCTCATTTGCCTCATCCTTTAGTACTGCCTTTTGAGTTTGAAATTCTCATTGCTCTTTGAAAGGGTATATGTTCTCCTCATTATACTTATTTGTGTTATCATCCTATTTCTCATCCCAATTTATTTTGCTTTTCATCTTTGTCATTTGTTTATGTTCCTAAGAACAGGTAAGGTCTTAACCCATCTAAGATGGAAACAAGCAATGATAGACAAGAGACGTGCATTATAGAGCAATTTCTCAATGGGTATACACAATCAAGGTTGGTCCAAAAGGGAAAGTCGGTCGACTTAAGGCTATTCTCAAATGAGTTAGATTATGGGGATACTCTTTTTCTCCAATTGCCAAAATGCATATATATGAGTATTTCTATATATCGCTACCATTCATCATTTGCCTCTCTATCAATTGGACATAAAAAAATGTCTTCCTACAATGTGATCTACCCAAGGAAATCTACATGGAGCAACATCTTTTCAAGCATTTTAAAACGAAGGATCTTGGCAAACTAAAATATTTCTCAGAAATAGAGGTAATAAAACTATCCAAAAATGGGACCATCATATCCCAAAGAAATATGCAATGGATATTTTGGAAGAAACATAAATGGAAAATTCCAAGACAGTTGACACCCTAATTGATCCTAATGTCAACCTCCTACCAAATTAGGAGGAGCTTCTTGCGAATCCTAAAAGGTATAAACAATTGGTCAGAAAGTTGAATAACCTTAATTGTTAACGGTCTGGATATCTCATTTGTAGTACTTGTAGTAAGTCAATTTCACAAATTTTCATGTAAGGAATATTGGAATGCAGTGACTCCACATAGTTCGATACATCATAGGAGCCACTAGAAAAGGTCTTTTGTGGTCGACTCGAGTTGTGGGATATTCTAATGTAAACCGAGGAAGCTCCCCCCATTAATAAAAGATCCACCTCTGGTTTCTAAAATTTGTTAGAGATAACTTAATCTCTTGGAAAAGTAAGCAGCAAAATGTTATAACCACATGTAGTGTGGAAGCGATGTATCTAGCCAATCAGGAGCATATATGGTTCAAACAATTACTTCAAGAACTAAAGTTTGGGAGGTTACACCATTATCACTTATATGTGATAATCAAGCTATCATGTATATTGCCTCAGATCCATATGTCATGAAAAGACGAAACATATTAAAGTTGATTATCACTTCATTTATTGGAGAAATATCCATTGGCTTTGTAAATCCCCAAGATCAACTATGCTCTAGTTTGGGGCAAGTGTTTGATATAAGTCAGAATCCAATAGATATGATACTAGGATCAATTAGATTGATTCTATATTTATGTTATTAGCCTAAAATAGGAAAACTAAATATTTTATAATTACATTCTCCCGTATATATTGAATATCTTTGTTGTGGTCTAAACACAAGGAGTTTGTCATATGCCTTCTCATATAATCAAGCAAAATCAATCGTTAGATGTGTAAATTTGCAAATAATATGGTTAGAAGCTTCCAATCATCATTGTCTATTAAACTCTTTTACATCTTAATACTTAGAGTTAGGAAGCTTCCAAGGAAATTTTTCTTGAAGTCACAATTGACCAGATTGATTTTACTGCATTTTTTCAAATATAAGTAGTTAGCAACAATTTGATTATAATATCTAAATTTTCAGAAATTAGTATAAAAATTGTATCATGATGATTACTTGTAAATCAGTTGGAGATGAAAACCATTTTCTAAAGCAAATTATGTGGTATGCGAATATAAATATTACAACAGCACCATCACCCCGCCTGCACGCCTATGGAATTATGGACAACTAGTACTATGACTGTCAATTGGCATAGGTTAGCTATATAAGAGTTCTAACGCAACTTCCTTCTTTCCAACTGGGGCTAAAACTAATGGAAATATAATCTCGGGTTTTTTATTCTACAACTACTTCTGAAACATGATCATAAGAACAGCCTGATATCAAGGAACTGAAAATGCTGCTTACTCATCTATGTTCGTCGAGAATGTGTGTGATACTAATTCATCATCCTTCAGAATCCATATCTTATCCCATGTTAATTTAACATCAAGGCATCGTCCCTGTCAAATAAAAGCACACTCACATCTGGGGCAAAGGGGGAAATCACATCCAATTCAAGCTGAATGAAAAAAACACAGATTACCTCCTCCAAGGAAATGTGTTGCACTGAAGGCTCCATAGAGAAAACGATTCTATCCCCAAAATTATATCGGATACTATATAAAGAAATCGTCTCCAAGTTTTCATCCTTCACAATTAAGCCTAAAAACTCAGTTACAAAAAGAAAGCAATACAAACATCACAAAACAAAGTGTCATATCAATTTTTACATAAACTAAACAGTCAATGCTACAGCAGATTATACCGTCTTTAACAGACAACTAAAATATCTTGAACAAATTTCAACAGAAGTAGGTTTTATGAACTGTAAACATAAGAAAAACTACTATTTTTCCATTTCAGCCAAAATTTATAATACATGATAGAAGATTCAACCCAAACAGCGGGAGAAAGAGAAAAGAAAAAAAGGGAAATGAAAGAACCATTGAGTGACAGAACACAACAGAAATGCAAAGACAAAGCACCAAGTCAAACAAAGAAGTGCAGATATGGGAAAATTGCAAAGTTTTGATCAATTATTTGCTTGATAAGGAAATCTTGTGAACTAAGTAAGCAAACAACAACCACAATTTATAGAGGCATTAGTTCAATAAGTTCAGATTGAGCTATAGCAAAACCAACTCATTTAGCTCATTAGCTGGCAATTAGCATAAAAGGATAACTGCATAAATAATTATGCATACACAATCAATATGGAATTTTAATTTTAATATCATCCAAGGGGAGGACTAGCAATATCTATCAGCCTATATCAAATAAATTGAAATTATATTGCAAACAAAACAAGGTAGTAAACTGTTGGCTAATCTAATATTTCAATTATATCATCAAATTTTAATCCTGTTTCACTAGTTTAGCTTAAACATAACATCTTAATTGGTCAAAAAATGCAGTCCTTTCCAAGTCAAATTTAAAATAATAATTATCATTATCAAGTAATTATTACCAGACATATACTTCAAATGACTATTTTACAGAATCATCTAATTTTGCTATTTCCAACTTATGTTATTGATCACAAGAAACCAATTGGATTCTTTCTAGGCTTCAATGTTAGTATAGGAACGTAAAGTTATTAGTTTGTGAGAAATACTTTTAAAACAGGAAACCTTCAATCCACATATGCATTTTTTAACCCCTAATAAGTTATATGTCCTCTTTAAACAAGTCCTGCTATCATCAAACATCAGAAACTAAGAAGTTTCTTTCAAGTGTACATGTAAAAAGAAGAAAATATAAACATAATCAACATTGTATACTTGTATTTAGAAAAAGTGTAAGAAATCAGAATGTCTTTAAATGCGTACCGATCTGTCTTGGTACAAAATTGCCAAAGGAATTATGATTGAATCTTGGTTAGATTGACCCACCCATAACCTTACAAAGGTAGCACCTGAAGAACAAACAACGAAGTGTGAGACCATATCCATGTTTGTAAATACAAGAACACAAAAGAATTGGGAGAACATAATATATCGATACACAAAGAAAGGGAGAGATCAAATTTAATTCACTTTCAATTGTATTTGATTTGCCAGCAGATAAGAGACAATGTATACTCCAGAAAATTACAGACAAGCTAAACAAAACTATGAAGTTTTGTTTATATGTAAATATGTTTGACCTTTATATAGAGATATTTCTTTTTAATCCCAGCAAAAAAATGAATTTTTATCTCCACAATATTCATGTCACCTGCTTTGTATCCAACATGCTAGGAAGCCCAAATATAGTACAATACAAGTACATATGGACACGGATATGGGGATATGGAAAACTTTAAAAACCAAGATACCTTATCAAATATGTGTGTAAAAAAAATATAAGTGCACAATATTTATAGCGACATGCACATCACTAATTGTTCATTAATGCATAAAATATCAAAAGTCAATAAGAGATAATCGTAATTTCAAAAAAAAATCATGCAATCATTACAAGTAAGCATAGTTAAGAATCTTTTCCCCCACTAATTAGAACGGGTATTTTTACTATGAACCTGTCACAAAATATACAATTTCCTTGCTCAAGGATGAATAACACAAAAAACATACCTTTTAACAACAAATATAACTAATAAAAAATTACAGTAAGTGTGAAACTCTGATACTTCTGCATTTTTGGAGTATTTGGATATCATAGCCAGGAGACCAGCCATTGCATAAAAACATGCTTTACATGCCTATAAATATAGCAAAAGTTTTTGTCCTTATAAAACATATCAATTATTGTTTAGTCACTATAAATAAAATAATTTTTCTGTTAGATGGTGTGACCTCAAGAATGTGTAAGCAGGTTTCGACCAATCTCAGGATTTGATACATTTTCGCTATCTACCATTTGTATCTCAATTTAAATCGTAAATGACTTTGTATCTTCCGATACATGAATGAATCTACATATTTTGTATCATCGATAGCATCAACTATTCATAATTTTTTTCACAAATTCTTATGAAAACAAAAATAAAAAGTGATGTCAACTTTAATAGGGATTGGAAAGAGCACTTGGGAATTCATCCAATTTTATCATTGCTCCTTTGTTTTTTACTCACTCATTCAATGTATGGACACTATTTACCTATTCAATTCTTTTGTTTTCATTGTTGGAAATACATTTCACAAAAGAGTTCAAATAGCAAAGGAAGAACACGGGAAAAAGCCTCTCACAGAGAGAAACTCTCTCACTTAATGCTCTTCTATTTAACACATCCATCCCCTAACCTTTTGACACATCATCCAGATAACCTGCTCATTTAACTCCCAATCTAAATGCATAACTAACTCCCAGAATCTCTATCCCTTCTTCTAATATAATATTGTAAGGCGTTGGACCTTCAACCTGCACAGGCCAAGTCCCATCCCGTTGGACTGACCAGTACTACATAATCCCCATAAATAAGGACAAATAAACAAGACAAGTGGGCATTCAATAAAACATATTATCTCATTCAATAAATAAATTATAAGTATAAAACAGTTTACATTTTTCTATTGTTTAATTTAATAAATTATACTTATATTTGAATTATGTTTACAATATAATATTAAAAATATTACAGACTCTGGTAAAGTAATATCAGGAGTACATGGAGAAATTTACCGTATTCATATTACAGTTAAATAGGACATGTGACTAACTATTGACCACAATTACCAAGTACTAGAGGAGTCTCCCATAAGGAAACTTGCATAACTTTCACAAAGAAAGTAAATTTGTTTATTTTTTTCTAAATGAAGAAATTTGAGGATAAAAAGAAAATAAGAAATAATAGGTCTTCTATAATACTACCCAAAAGTATATAAACAAAGAATACACAACTTTTATATTCTATTTAATATTTTTTAATGTGTGTATAATATTTATTTTGTTCAACCTGTTTACAAAATCTACAGGGAATAGGGAATGTGTGTGTCCAAGTTAATTTACAAAGTGACATCAAAACAGTGTCATAGCTGGAGTGGAAACTAGCTTTCCGCATGTTGGTACTTTTCTTTTTGCCACTAAAACAAAATCAAATTATGCTTGTACAAGTAATTGCATGTTTTATGTTATAAAACTTGTGCATATAAGCAAAAAAGTGTACATGCAAAGATGAAAAGATGGTTTCTTGTCATTTATCCCATTCTAGATGTAAATATACATATATACACACATCTATCCTTAAGTTTTCATTTTGATCTGTGTGTTTCATAAACTTACATTACAAGGAAAAGAATAAATAAATAAATGAGAGGAGAAGGAAATAAATGAGGGGAAATATCGAATAGAACCCAAAAAACTGAGAAATACAAGTGAGTAGTATTATGCTGGAAATAATAGATGTATCATTTGAAATAAAACATTTGCCTGATATGGGAATAAATATTGTCTTTCTTTCTTTCCACTAAATATAAAGACTATGGAATTAGTGAAGAACATCATTGGCAAAATGCACCTACCACTTGCCTTTCATCTAAGTTTATTGTCCCATATACAACATTAAAGGAGGCCGCAAAACTATAATTTTTCAATAACTGATAAAACCTTAGGACCAGAAGCTCTTTTCACAATAGTCAATCCAAATTCGCTACAACGAACCTGTTCAACTACCAGATATTAAAAGGTCTCCCAAAAGCCATTGAGACAATATCAAAGCCAGTCAGTGCTTGGCCCTGAACATCCCAAATTATTCACTAATAATCTAACACCACATAGTGCAGTATTTCCCAAAATTCATAAACCTACAAGTTAAATCATCAGGGAGTCCTGACCCCACTAAAATCCACCGGCTGTATAAACATAAACAGTGCAGAAATCAAAATTAACAGTCCTCTTAAATGTTTATGGAGGCTGGTAGTAATGGAACAAGCATAAAATGAATATAAAAGAATATACAAATTCACTGGCAAATTTCTTAATTTATCCAAATCATACAATCATGAACATCACAAAATAGAAATTAACAGTCCTCTTTAATGTTTATGAAGGCCTGCATGGCAACTCAAATAAAAAAGAATGTGGGATGAAATTGAATCTGAGAAGTAGACAATACCTGCCATTGACATAATCCCCATGTTATGACTAAAGACCCTACTCCGAGACGCGAGATCCCAGATACGCAATGTCCCATCCAAATGAAGCACAAAGACAAACTTTTTCTCATGCAACTCTGAAATTACCAACTCTTGTACAGTACCCACCATTTTCCCCCTAAAGATACATTCAATGAAATGTCTTATAATTCACATCGGAGTCAGATTCAATCCGCGAAAGAAAAATGTATTAACAACTCGGAGAAGATACCAAACAAGCTTAAATAGTATTAGAATTTAGAAAGAAAATACCGTGGTATTAAACCCCACAAGCGACTGATTCCAGCTTCATCTCTTAGCTCATGGACAAATCCTTTCACAAAAACAATTCATAACGAACCATTAAAAAGTGATAAAATAGACATCACCTAAATTTCAAGCAAGAGGAAAAATTCAAGACATTCAAAAGATAAACTTGTGTTGTCATACCACCGAACACATCCCTATTTTGCAATCCACCATCAAAACAGCCCACAACGCCGGCCTAAACCAGTCTACGGGAGCAGTTTGAGTGCAATTTTAATTCCCCATACGACATACAAACAATACAACTAAAATTTACTATGAAAGCAATGAAAGGCAAGAGAAAACGCATGACCAGAGAGAAAATAACCAAGTTCATACCAGGAGCACTAGGGTCGAGTACACCGACTTGGAAACAGAAAACAGAACCATCACTCATGCCAACAACAAGAGCCCCGGCAACGGCAGCCACAGCAGTTATCCCTGCCGCGTGATTGGGAATATAACCACGCACATTAACCTCCAAAAGCTCGTCCAAAGGAAAAACGGAAATGGACGCATATGCAGAAATATTTCGAATTCTCAAGAGGTAAGCGACGCCAGAGACAGTCAACACATAGAGCAAGTAAGGGAATCTAGCAGTACCAGAAATCTGCATCAACGAGAAGGGCAACCAAATGAACTGTGAATGTGACAAACACACAAACAACAACCGTAACCAACAGGGGAGAAGTAGTAACCTCGTTTCTGCATATGAACGCGAAGGGACAAAGTGCGTCGGGGAAAGTGAATCTGAGTCCTACGCGCGGGAATTCCTTGGAAGCAGCGACTTCAAGCAACTCCAGAGAGTGAGGTTGAGCCTTGTGAATTCTCCTGCGGTTAGTAAAACGGTGAGTCTTCGGAACGCGAGTAATGAAATTTGAGAGGAGAGAGAGAGGAAGTGAACCAAATGAGATAGGTAGGAGGATCTCCGATGACTAAGCAGGAGGCCCGGTCGTCGGTGGTTGGAGGGGCGGCAGCGCCGTTGATGGTGGCGATGTTGGGGGAAGAAGGAACGGAGAGATCGATCCAGCGAACGGTGTCGCTTCCGATGACAGGAACTTCCTTCCCGGCCAACGTCGAGCCTGTTCCCATTTTCTTCAAACGGAATCCCAGCAGCGAAGCAAAACCCTAGTGCATGTGAAGTAGTTCGGGGTTTTGAGCTTGGCGCTAAAAGGTGAAAATAAGAATAACGTTGAAGCTAATTTTAGGATTTTAGTCCCTTGTCTATATATTTTATTTTAAGTTAATTTTGATGTTTTTTTTTTCACGAATAGTAAATAAATATAGAATTTTAGTTTGGGAAATTTTTAATTTATTTAAATTTTACCTCTTACATTGATTTGACTAGGTAGAATTATTATAATTTTTTAGGGTGAGTTATTATCGTAATGTTTATATTCTATAAGATTAAGACATTCTTATTTTTAAATAAAATATTAATATTTATTATAAAAAAAATAAATTTTTATTATATTTTTATTTCTTAATCTTTGAATTAAAAAAAATTATATTTTTATATGATTACGATTTTTTTATTTATGAGTTAAATTTAAGAATAATTTGTATATATATTTTTTTAATTTATTTAAATATTTTTTAAGGATAAAATTATAATATATTAAAATTTAAAAATAAACTATGTTAATTTATCATGAATATTAGATCGAAAAACTAAAAATTTTAAAATATACATATTTTTATAAAAAAATAATTTAAAAACTTTTTATTTCATTTATATCATTAATTTTTTTAATCTAATTATTAAAATGAATTATTATTTTAAATTATTAGATTAAAATAAAGTATTTAATTCATACTCTTAGTAGATGAATATGTTAACTAGCTTAAAAATGTATTCAGGGAAGGTGAGATTCACCGTGCAAATTTTACCCATTGAAAGGTAGGATTTGGCTAGAAAATGACCCTAACCATTACTATTGTCATATTTGTCTTTATTTTGTCTTTTATCCAACTACCAATACTTTATCAGGTGCCTCACTGACATAAACTTTTCCTTAGAGGGATATGTCATGCAAAAGAAACGCAAAAAAATCAATACAAACTGAATGTTATCTTATCATATAAACTTATTTTTTTGTCCTTTGAAACACTACCTAAACCACAACCATTATATTACCAATCATTATATGTTACAATATGTTCAGGAATTTTCAATCATAATAATTAATAACCAAAGATAATGTACTTCAATCTTTTGTTTGGCTATGTTCGGATTTCACTTTCTTCAATATACGTATTTCCAATATTTGAATATATTTATATTACATACAAGGTTTACCATAATGATATATTGATATTTTATGCAAATATGAAATAATTGATAGGATCAATTAATAAGAGAAAGATCAAGATAAAACTTAATTTAATAGTTAGATGGTTGTACAAATTTAAAATATCAAGACAAAAACTCGATGTTTCTGAAATCTCAAAAAACTTAATTATTACAAAGATATCACTTTAGCTAACATGATTATATTAAAATTATAAAACGTAATTGTAAAAATATAGATAGTTTGATTATTGATGACAAATTTTTTTCCTATGTATATATTACTTGTGGACATTATTTACGCATGACTAATACAGAGATACATTCATCATTTGGTGTATTAAACATAGCAATCTTGTTCATTATACCTGTCATGCTACACAGTATAGGACAAAAATGCAAAGTCATGACTTTTCTTTGTCTTTTGATATTATAATTTATTCTTCACATAAAATTTGATTTGTTTATAAAGACTAAGACAATATGCTCAAATACACTTAATAAAATGTTTCTAAAGAAAATAATGTTGAATGGATAGATAACAAGAGTAATTATGTTCACATGACCTTAAATAAGAAAACTTTATGAGAAGATGGATTTATGAATCATTAGCACATGTTTATGATGAAAATAATATATTAAAAAATTTAAGTAAAAGTTTGAATATTATATTGAGTAAAAATAAAAAAAGTTAAAAAAAAATTTATAACTCAATATTTTAAGATTTTTTATTAAAAATTATGTAAATTTTATATATAAGTTACACCTGATATGAAATAGTATTTAAGAACTCTAATAAGGTATAAACACTTTATTATTAAATATTTATTATGATTATAATCAGGCTCAATTTTAAAAATTCAAGATTATTAAAGATAAATCTTGAATAAACATATGTTATTTTTACTTCTTCTTTTTTTACCTAATTAATCTTCCTAAATTTATTCATTAAATTTATTTATCTAATATATCCAAATCAAATGAATAATGGATTATATTTGACACAACTTATGGATTAACATGTCACCCAACTTCTCAAAATCCTCATTTTCTACAAATCATAAAAGTAGCAATTAAATGGTACAATTTAACTTATTTTTTATTATTTAAAATAAAATATAATTTATAAAAAATAACAACCTTTTAAAATTATAACCTTTGACGTCTTATAATTTGTAGCCGATATGATTAAATGGTACAATTTAACTTATTTTTCATTATTTAGAATAAAATATATTAATAAAAAATAACAACCTTTTAAAATTATAACCTTTGACGTTTTATAATTTAATTTTGTATGATTTATGATACAATTCGAGACATATTAAAAAAAAAGATATATATATATATATCATAACATAAAATAATTATTAAATATTATTTCTTTATTTTTATTTTTATCATAATACCGAATATTTCATGACCAAATGAAGTGGGATGATATGTGTATGATAAACTCTTATCATGATATAAATAGTGTTAAAAAAACATGATTTTGGTTATAATATAATTAAGTTTTTAAGTATTAACATGTGTGCTAAGTATAAAAAAGAAAATCAATTAATGAACATAAATAATTATTTGACGAGGCTAATTGAATATTAAATGCAAAACAGTTGTAAAAATATATTATGAAGTTAATTACAAGATATAATAAAGATATGTGTGATGATTAAATCGAAGTATCATAAATAAATAAATAAAATGTATTTGAAAAATACATGTTCAATGAACAAAATTCAAAATATTGTCTGTGGTAGGGAAATATATTATATAGTATGATAAGAATCAAACAAAAAATACAACATAATGAAAGAATAAATAATACAAAAAATTTATAAATGAAGATGAAAAATATATAAGTATATGAAGGTTTATTCAATATATGTAAAAGGAAATATTTTTTTCCAATATTAATGTTTACATAAAGGAAATATATGTAATGTATTGTAAAGATTTATAAAAAAAGTATTTGAACTAGACATAAAGAAAGTATTTGAACTAGACAAAAAAAAACCTGAACATATTAATGAGACTTTATGCAAAGAACAACATCAAAGAAATGCTAGAATTTTAATAGTTACATCTTGAAGTGAATCAAAGAAAAATATCAATTAATAAAGAAAATACACAACAACTACAACACAATCTTACTAACTTGTTTTATCCTTGTAATAAGTGTTCTTTCTTAAAAATTTTAAAAGAGAAAGTCATTAGTATATGTTCACACAAGAAAACCTTACTTATAAGTTTTTTTTTAACGAATATATTATTTAAACAATTATTCTTGTACTTAGGAGTAATAGCTAATAATACTTGTGTTATAAGTTTTTAGTGAGATTAGAATTGGTAGTTAAGAGTGTTAGTATACTCATTCATAATGAGGAGAAACTTAGTATACTTGTCTATAATCAAAAGTAACTAAGTGTACTTGATGAAATCTTACTAATTATAGTAAAATCCTTTAAGTATTCATAAGGAATACATGACTTAGCCCTTAGTTGTGATGAATAAATATAAGTGTAATGTCTTTATCTATTTAACTAATTTGTTTTATCTTATCCACTGCTTATTTCCTTACAAAAGAACATTAGTTAGTTATTGAGAAATTAATGTTAACAAATATTTCTAAAAGTTTTATTTAAATTCTTAGTTTCTAAAGCTAATATGTGTTTTCAGATAATCTAGTGAAAGTTAACATATGTGCATTTTGTCTCAATGTGCATCATTCAAACACAAAATCTTCCACAATTTGAGTTTTGTCCACGTCATCTCTTTTATAAAAACTACATTCTTTAGTGATAATCATGATTTCAAAATTTAAATTATTTCATCATCATTGTAAGGGATGGAAAACCCCACAATAACAAACAATTTCAAGTGTGATAAATCATGACAGTGACCAATATCATGGGTTGATCCATGATAAAGTTCCTAATAAAAGAAACATCACTAATAATTTAGTAATCTAACTATATTCACTATAAACAACATAGTTTCTTTCAACATTTTTTATTACACATGTGTTCCTCAAGACAATAATCAATGTGGTGCTTGCAAAGTGAACAAAAAACTTTAGAAAATGAAACTCTAATGACTATTCCAACACCTTTGCATACAAGAGCATTATTTGTCATAATTTACATACATTTTCTCCCCTTATTTACATAATTTCAACCATTTTGTTGGTTATATAATGCTTATCTTTTAGTTCATGAAAACATAAACAACTTTTAGATAATATAAGAACGTGCATACATTAAAAGAAAAATTGATTTTACCGACAAATAAATTTTGTCAATAAATAGTAAAATTTGTCCATTTAAATATGTATCATCGACAAATAAAATTCACCTATAATTATGTTGTAGGTAAAATTTACTAATGAATTATCTAATTTATCGATAATTATTGACGAATATATATACTGATAAATATGTTTTCAATTATAGTTATTGATATATATATATATATATATATATATATATATATATATATATATATTCATCTATAATTATCGAAAGTTCTATCGAGTGAGGTTACCGAATATTTCTATCAATAATTTCTCTTCTGTTTTCACCTATCAATCTAACTTTGTCTTTACCATGTAACTTGTATAATATATATATGTATCAACTTCAATTCAAAATATTATTAAAACAACTTATAACCAACCTTAAAACCTCATTAAACCCCTGTATAATAACTCTTAGAATTGACACCAATCAAAACAATATAAAAAATAAAAAGAAACAAGAAGGCTACATTATAAAGAACTTAAAATGGTTTTCCTATGCATCAA